GAGTGTCGAGTAAAACGAGGTTGTCGGGCTGATAAGTGACAGGTCTGCTGTGGCGGTCGGCGTTGCGTTTAGCGATGATGTTCGATTTTTTGATTGCTTCTGCTGCCCTGGTCCATGCTGCTTGCAAAATCTCGGCGAATTGTTGTGCTCGTGGAACGGGGTTGTCGGGATTTGGGGTCATGGGTACTGTGGGTTTTTGTCCGGAATTCAGGTAAAACGGTGACTGTTGGGTCGTGGCGGATGGCGCGTTGTTGTATGCGAATTCGATGAGTGGCAGCTGCTGCTCCCACGTGTTTGGATCGTCGCACGTGGCCCTAATGAGCTGCTCCATGGTCTGGTTTGTCCGTTCTATCTGTCCGTCGGTTTCGTGGTGATACGATGAACTGAATTGTAGTCGCGTGCCGAACTGCTGCCACAGGTTCCGCCAGAAATTGCTGGTAAACTTCGTGTCCCTGTCGCTGATGATCGATGCTGGTATCCCGTGCAGCCGAACGACGGTGGTGATGAAGAGTCGGGCTGTTTCCTCGGCTGTGATTGAATTCTTGCAGGCTGTGAAGTGTGCCATTTTCGTCAGTCGATCGACGACGACCAGGATCGCGTCATTCCCACTTGTTCCGGCCGGTAACCCCGTGACGAAGTCCATTGTCACTTGCTGCCAAGCACGCTCTGGAGGTGGGATTGGTTGTAATTGTCCCGCCGGCCGCTTCCTGGTTGACTTCATGAGCTGGCAAGTGGGACACGATGCCACGTGTCGTTGCACGTCGGTCAACATTTCAGGCCAGTAATAGTACCGCTGCAGCTGCTGCCGTGTTTTCTCTACTCCGAAATGTCCCGAGGTAACTCCGTCGTGTGCCTCCTGTAACAGTAATTCCCGTAGTAGTGTGTACCCTGGTACCCAGATGCGGTCGGTTCCAGCTTTTACGTGATAGACTCCCTTGGCTGCTGCGAATTGCTGTGAGTTTCCTCCTGTGAAGAATGGGTCTGTTTGATATCCGTGGGTAAATAGTCCTGTCAGTAGCGGGCTGGTCTGGGCGAGAAGTATCGCATGGATGTGGGCAGTGGGGCGGGTTAGTGCATCGGCGATATTGGAGGCTCCTTTTTTATAGGTGACCTTATAATGGAAGTTCGACTCGAGGAAGTCGAGCCACCGAATCTGTCGTGGGTTGAGGTGGGGCTGTGCACGGAGGTACTCTAGGGATTGATGGTCTGTCCGTACTGTCACGTCTGCGCCGGTCAAGTAGCAGGGCCACACTTTGAATGCATGCACGATCGCGAGCATTTCGCGGTCGTGTATCGGGTAATTTCGCTCAGGCGGATGCAGTTTGCGTGATTCGTAGGCGATGGGTTGGAGGCCGTTGCCGAAGTCTTGTAACAGTACGGCTCCGATGGCGATGTCGCTCACGTCTGTAACAACCTCGAAGGGGCGATGTGGGTCAGCGATGCGTAGGACGGGTGGTGAATAGAGAACAATTTTCAAGGCAGAGAAGGCAGCATGCTCTTTCTCCCCCCACGTAAAAACGACCCCCTTACGCAGTAAATCTGTGAGTGGGGCTGTTAAGCGTGCCATGTCGGGGACGAACCGACGAACGTAATTTACGAAACCTAAAAAACTCTGCAGTTCCGTAATGTTCGTCGGGGGACGCCACGCGTTGACGGTATCCAGCTTCTTAGGGTCGATTTCAACTCCAGCCTCCGAAATAACGTGTCCTAAGAATTCTAGCCTGTCCCGAAAAAACTCGCACTTGGAGCCCTTGGTGAGTAACCTCTAAAATTTTAAAAACTGCTTCGAGATCTACTAAGTGCTGCTGCTGGTCCCGACTGTAAACGAGAATGTCGTCGAGGTAAACTATCACGCATTTGTCTAAAAGTGGCCTAAACGCCTCGTTCATGGTCATCTGAAATGTGGCGGGCGCGTTGGTCAGCCCGAAAGGCATCACCGTGTACTCGAATGACCCGTACCTAGTCCTAAATGCTGTCTTGGCGCAGTCCGATGGTTCGACCCGAATCTGATGGTAACCTCCTCGTAAGTCTATTTTCAAAAACACCCGTGCGGTTCGCAGCTGGTCGATCAGTTCGTCGGCGCGGGGGATGGGTGTCAGAGGTCCACTGGTGATCCCCGATTGATCCTAGGGAAGGGTTACAGGCACGTTGGCCTGGGGGGTTATGGGCGCACTGACCCGCTACTTAACATTCCCTGTTCTCTTATTCTCACATGGTATCAGAGCGAAGGTCTCGGGTTCGAATCCCGGTGTATGCACTTCGGGCATCCCAGTGCGGGGGGGTGTCAGAGGTCCACTGGTGATCCCCGATTGATCCTAGGGAAGGGTTACAGGCACGTTGGCCTGGGGGGTTATGGGCGCACTGACCCGCTACTTAACATTCCCTGTTCTCTTATTCTCACAATGGGGTGCCGCGATTTGACTGTTACCCTGTTAAGCGCTCGGTAGTCGATGCACATGCGAAACCCTCCGTCTTTTTTCGGTGTGAACAGTATCGGTGCGGCGAATGGTGACGAGCTCGGTCGGATAAACTGCTTCTCTAACAGATAATCTAACTGCTTCCTTAGTTCGTCGAGCTCGGGCTGTGTCAGTCGGAACTGGCGCTGTACAGCTGGCTGTGCCCCCGGTTCTAACTCGATCCTATGGTCATGCGCCCGCTGAGGTGGCAGCCCTTGCGGTAAGTCATCCGGAAAGATACCCGGGAATCGTTTCAGTAGTGCCTGAAGTTCGGGTGGTACAGCTGCCAACAGTTTATGAAAATCGCTCGGCTGCTCCTCTTCTTCCACTAATGCTATATCCACTGCGTACACGTCAGCTCCAGCAGCGACAGCCCGTTTCATCGTGATGGCGTTGACCTGGACCGTGGAAGACTCAGGTGGCTGCCAGCGAGGTAGGACGACCCAGTTACCACTACTTCGCACGGTGCAGCTACCCGTCGTCCAGTCAATTCGCGGGTTATACCGTCGCAGCCAATCACGTCCCAGTAAAATGTCGTGCCCATCCAGTGTCGTTGCGAGCATTTCCTGTGTAAACCCGAAGTTCCCTCCGCAGCGGACTTTTACTCGCTCCACCTTTTCCCGTATGGCTAGTGGCGTTCCGTCGACTAAGCGTGCATCTATCTCGGGTAAGAATCGGTTAAGTGTTAACTGTAATTTCCGTGCGGCTGCGGTATTAACTAATCTGTGACTTGCTCCTCCGTCAATAAAAATCTTCACTGCTGCTCCCTGTATTTTCCCGTAGATCAGTACTGGGCAATCCGTCGCTGTACCCTCCTTATTCATCCGAGCCCAATCGATGGCGTGAATCGGTACTGTGACTCGGTGAGGGTCGGTGTGGTTGGGCGAGCAGGCAGTCTCGTCAGTAGTTGGCCCAACTTCTACTAACTGCTGGCGTTTCCCTGCCTCTGAGACTCCCTCCCTTGCTCTGCTCCTCGGCGCCTCAGCTCCTCTGGGCATTCGCTCTTGCGATGGCCCGGCCTGTTGCAAGCAAAGCAGCGCCCCTTAAACGGTGCGGCAGCTGCATTCGTTGCAACGGCGTGTACAGTGGCGTGCTCGGTCGGTCTCCGAGGGCGATGTCCGTAATAGGACCCCGGTCTCGGTCGGCGTAGAATGTCGATCTTCTCGGCGAGCGCGAGAATCTCGTTGAAATAAGAGAGTCCGCGCAGCATTATTTCGTGCGAGATATCCGGCTTCAGCCCTCCGACGTAACGGTCCACTCGCTCCGCTTCGTGCATGTAGCCGGCCTACTTGCAAAGTGCGAGAAAACCGCTTGTATAATCTTGAACTGACCCGAGCTGGCGCCAAGTGCGCAATCTCTGACGCGCCGAAATTGAAGCCGCGATCGGCTCAAAGCGCGCCCGAAGCTCTGCGCACCACGCATCCCACGTGCTGTATTGGGCGGTCTCACAGAACGAACTCCAGGTGACAGCTGGACCCGTGGGCCCTTCCTCGTGCGACGGTGGCTCGTAGGCGCGTGGCGACGTCACGATGACTCGCCACCAGTCCATGGCGGGGCCCCTTAGCAGTGAAACTGCATACCGGATCTTCGCGGCGTCCGACTCGACGTAATTTGCGTCGAAGAAGACGTTCATCGTGAAGACCCATGATTGAACCGTCGGACCGCCGCGTTGGCTTGGGTCGAAGCAGGGCGGGCATTGCGGCTTGAGCGGCATTGGTGCCATGATGGCTTGTTCGCCACTTGTCGCCGCAAATTCCACGTGCCGACGGGCTTCTCGGGGCTCCCGCGGGCTTGGTGCGATCCTGTTTCCTCCCATTCCAGGCAACGGCTGGGCGGCGCCATTACCGGCTGCGCCTGAGCGTTGTCCCATGCTGTCGTGTTGTGTTGGTGTGCCGGACGAGATGACGATCGGCTCATCCGAATGTGCAGATACATTTGTTGGTGTGTGTGATGTCGCCGGAACGTTCGCCGTGGACTGTTGACGGGCGGAGTCACGTTCCGCCGTGAGCGTCGCGATTTCGAGCGCTGAATCTTCCAGTTGACGCACGAGACGATCAAGTTGCTCTTGCGTCAATGTGGCGAGCGTGAAATCGGCCATGGCGGGGGTGTCGGGCAAGCTCAGCGAGAGCCTCGGTCGTGGCCGTGCGTGCTTACGAGAGAGCACTACGAGCGGCGGTGCTGTATCGCTGAGAGACGTCTACCCCCCCAAAAAATTGAGATAGTGGGGAAGCGAAGGTGTGGATGCGGTCCGAGATGAGATCGTAGGCTCTGATACCAAGTGTTACGAGTGCAATTGAGTGGTTGAACGAGAATTGCACTATCGAAGCAAGAATACAATGAGCGAAGGCAACGGTGGTAACGGTAATGGACTGTGGTAGTCGCGCGACGAGCCTGGGACTGAGGTTGGGAAAATGTCGAAGCGTAGGCCCGGAGCGCGGGTTACCAGTCGAGCCGTGAGGTCGGGATGCGATGTGCGAAAATGGCGGGATGATTGTCGATGCGATGATCGCGAGTGGTAACGGTGCTGACTGAGGTGCTACAGTGATGTACGCGTTGAGCAGGGATGCGAAGTAAGGAAAAGGGATTTTCCTTACAGTAAGCCAACCTCACCAGTCACAAAACATCTCGACAAAAACATCGTAGCATAGTAAAATACGCAGAAATCAGGAACTTCACCCCCGCATACACAAAATTGTTGTGCCTCGCCTCCCGTCGTTGCGACTCCTATCGCCGCGCCCCCTGTCCCATCGTCACGCCCGCTCGTTTCTGGGAGCCTCCCCTCGTCGCGCCTCCGCTCGCCTCGCCGCGCCTCCGCTCGCTTCGCCGTGCCTCCGCTTGCCTCACCGCGCCTCCGCTCCCCTCGTCGCGCCTCCGCTTGCCTCGCCGCGCCTCCGCTCGCCTCTCCGCGCCTCCGCTTGCCTCACCGCGCCTCCGCTCCCCTCGTCGCGCCTCCGCTCGCCTCGCCGCGCCACCGCTCGCCTCGCCGCGCCTCCGCTCGCCTCACCGCGCCTCCGCTCTCCTCGCCGCGCCTTCGCTCACCTCGCCGCGCCTCCCGTGCGGTCAGCGCGCCAACATCCTCGTCGCGCTGCCCCTCCTTGCGCCTTCACTCCCGCTGCCCTTCTCCCACCTGCCCATCCCTTGCCCTCGTTTCCCTGCCTTTCCATTCCCTCTTGTTACCTTCCCCTCTATTCCCTCTGCTTCCCCTCATTCCCCATCTGCTTCCCCTCATTCACCCCTCTTCTAACCTCATTTACTCCCCTGCTTCCTCTCGATTTCCCCTCTGCTTCCCCTGGTCCCCCCTGCTTCCCCTATTCCAGCCCCCTGATTTTCCAAATTTTAACCTCCTGCTTCCCCTAATTTCTCCTTTTGCTTCCCCTCATGTCCGCCTCTGCTTCCCCACATTTCCGCTGCTTCCCCTCGTTTCCCCCTCTGCTCTCATCGTTCCCCCCCTGCTTCCCCTCATCCCCCCCCCCTCCTTCCCCTCATTTCCCCCCCTCCTTCCCCTCATTTCCCTCTCTGCTTCTCCTCATTTCCCCCCCTGCTTCCCCTCATTTCCCCCTCCGCTTCTCCTAATTCCCCCCTCCGCTTTCCCTCCTTCCCGCTTCCGCTTCAACTCATCCCCCCCTCCTCTTCTCCTCATTCCCCCCTCCGCTTCTTCTTATCCCCCCCCCCGCTTCTCCTCATTCCCCCCTCTGCTTCTCCTCATTCCCCCCTCCCTTCCCCTTATTTTCCCCTCTGCTTCAACCTGTGCAGAGACTTCACATTCTCTCCGTGCTTCTCTGTCCCCTAGTCCCCCATGCGCAACCCTGTGCCCATCAGGTGGTGGACGAGGCATGCCGCTTGCTGTGCCAGTCATACCATAATTGACTGCCCCTTACCCTCACCCTGTACCCGCTGTGCCCCCTCTGTCCCCCATGCCTCCCCATGCCTCCCCATGCCTCCCCATGCCTCCCCATGCCTCCCCATTCCTCCCCATGCCTCCCCATACCTCCCCATGCCTCCCCATGCCTCCCCATGCCTCCCAATGCCTCCCCGTTCCTCCCCATGCCTCCCCATGCCTCCCCACTCCTCCCCATCCATGCCTCCCCATGCCTCCCCGTGCCTCCCCATGCCTCCCCATGCCTCTCCATGCCTCCCCATGCCTCCCTCCGTGCACCCCCTGCACCGCCTGCATCCCCTCTTGCCCCATCAGGTGGTGGACGAGGCGGACCGGCTGCTGCGCTAGTTCTACCACCACTGGCTGCCGCTCACCCTCGCTGCCGTCGCCGCTGCCCCTTCCGGTGCCACTGCTGCCATGCCAGCAGTCCCCGGCATGCATGCTGACGTGGCAGTGAGCGTGCCGGTTCTGTGCGATGTCATGCACATACATGGCAGTTGCAGCGTGAGCGGTGTTCTCCCCACTCCATTCATCCACGGCCTGCAATCTCTGTGGGCCCTCAACGGTCACCTTATGCTGCTGTGCTACTTACACACCTATGTACATTCTTTGCGCTCACTTCATCTCTTATTACGGTATTTGTGAGAATCTTAGTCAGAAGTGATGCACTCACAAGACTGCCTATTGCATAATCAGAAACGACAGTAGCAACCACAATAGGGCCGGTATTCATATGTTGCATCACGAAGAAGAGGTCAGGTCAACACTAAGATATGGGCATACACAATACACCCCTTATACCACTATCATCACAGGTAGACCCTTGTACCTATAAACCTCTAGCGCATAGCATAGCATGATCCACAAGTCGATCCCTACAACCAGATAACCCCGGCATCTTCAGGTACCTAGGGAAGCATCTCTCACATCCGCTAGAGTGCTCTAAGAGTGCCACTGGCGTGCTAATAGGCGAGAGACTGCCATGGTCATGACGACTCGCAAGCACTGCAATGTGCAGCACCAGTTGAGGCATGCAAAATGAACTCGCCTTATGTTCCGGCACTGCAGCATGTGGGTCTTGGCCCGCCACACAGCAACATGGCCTGCCTTTCCCTGCACCGCTCTGCACTCCCCCAGCTCACAGCAGCGCAGCCCAGCCTTGACGTGCACTGCCGCCAGCAATACTGCCAGCCTGCCTTCCCCTCCTGCATCAACGCTCCGCGGCATCCTGCTGACACTGCCAGTCCCCATATCCTGCCACAGCCCCTGCGTGCCTTCACCCGGTGGCAGGGAGGGGCGAGAGTGCGAGAGAGAGACGCTCATTACTTGTGCTTGGAAAATCCAGCCGTCAAAGAACTTGAGCATGCGTGTGTTGCTGCAGGCTGTGTAGAGTTCGCCTTTGGCGACGACGGGGCGTGAGTTGGCACTCCCTTAAGCTTGGTGGAGGTTGACTTGCCAGAGAAGGGTGTTATCAGTGATCTCCACGTCAAACCGCTCCTCCAACACGCTCCGCGCCACGTGCACCTTCCGCCACACCTGCGCGCGGATGAGAAGGAAACAAATTGAGGTGGTAAGGTGGGCAGGCGATACTTGGTAAGGTGGGTGAGGATGAAGGAAGTAGAACAGAGGGTGGGGAGACGCAAGGGCAGAGGGTGGGGGCGGCAGGGCAGAGAATGAGGGGAAGCAGGGCAGAGGTAGGGAGGAAGTAGTGCAGAGGGTGGGAGAAAGCAGGTTCAATGAAACCTAAGTTGCAATATACGCTTATAGCGTATATACGCTTATCGTATATACGCTAGCGTATGCACGCTATCCGCTTGGGGGTCGACTTTGGAATACGCTTTTCTGGGCAGGGAAAAAACTTTTCTGGGCAGGGCAAAAAAACCACTTGGGAATGTTTTGGGGGGGGGGGGGGGGGGGGGGAGGGTGAGGCATTTTGGGGGTTTTGCAACACAGTTTTTTTTTCCCCATAATAAGATTACGACACTATACACACACACATGTCACTAATACTCTCTTGCCACCCTAGTTCTAAGCGTACTCGTCCTCCAGGACGTCATCCTCGCCTTCCTCCTCCTCCACCTCCGTCTCATCCAACCCGTTGTACCCCTCGGGAATAGGAGGCTCGTCCCCAATCCCTGGCACAACCTTCGGCATTACATCTGCGCGCGAGTGCCAGTTGCGCACAACATTCCAGTTGTGCGCAACAAAAACCAGGTCCTGGCACTTTGTAGATCCGAGGCGGTTCCGGCGGGCTGTGTGGACAGCATCCCAAGTTCCCCACCCACCCTCACAAGGGGATGCCGATACAGGCTGAGATAGCACCCTCACGGCGAAGCACATCAGGTGAGGTGCATCTGTGCCGTTCCACTGCCACCACTTCACCATGCTGTACTTACTTGCCTTCACCTTCTCCCTCTGTGCAAGCGCCTCCCGCATCCCAAAACTGCCTTTCATATCCAAGAAAGCCCTCAGCCCGTCACCCAAGGTAAGCAAGTAATCTGGACCCTCATCCCTCCCCTTCCCGTCGTGGCCGATGAGGAACTCCACGTGCTAGTTGATTAACGCCTTGAAAATCCGGATGCATTCGGCGTCGCTGCCAAAGATATCCTCCTCCTGGTCGGCGAGGTTGAGGATTCGGCCAGCAACGTGCATGGCGCAGGCGAGGTTGTTATCCCAACGGTCCTTGATGATGCTGCGGATCTTTTCCTTGTCCGCGCTACTCAGCTGCTGCTCATCCTCGTCCAGGATGTTGTTGACATCCTCGGTAAGCTGTGGCATTACATTGTAGAGCCGGCCCATCATCTCATTGGCATCTGCGTCAGTCTGCCGCATCGCCTTGTAGGGCAGCTGCATCAGCTTGCAGAAGAATTCTGCCGTCCGCCACCATGCGTCATCGAGGACCCGTTCAGCAAAGGCCTCGGCAGTTTCCTTCCGCGACCCCGAGGCCCACTCCTTCCACCTGTCGGAAAGCACCATCGCGTTGAGGGTGCTACGCAACTGACAAAGGCGGGACATAGCAATGTATTGTGTCCCGAACCGTGTTCCTGCTCGCTTCAGCGGCTGCAGCACCTTCCCCTCCACCAACTCCTTGGTCCTCAGGTAAGCGCGCGTCCAATGATGGTTGCGAACGAACGAACTCATCTCCCCAGTCCGATCCACCACCCCTTTTGCCCACCCCATCTTTCCCACGTCCTCCAGGAGGAGATCCATCACATGCGTGGCACAAGGAACCTTCTGAATGTGTGGCTACTTGGCAATCAGCTCCTGGACAGCCACGGCATAGTTCGACCCCCCATCCATACAAAACGCGACGACATTTTCTGGTCCTACCTCCTCCACCACCGGCTCCAGAATCCCCGCTATGTATCCCCCGTCTTCCGCTCCATACCGCAGTCGATCGCCTCCCTGAAGACAGCGCCGGAGTTGTTGATCAGAAGCACGTTCGCTTGCGCCCTCCCACATTTGTCCGTCATCATGTCGGATGCAAGTGTTACCCCCGTCTTCTTCCAGCTCGATTTAATCCCCACCAGCCCCTGCTCAATCCCTTTGCGGACAGCGACCAGTCCAGCCCCGCCAATGAAAGTCCTCCTGGGGGGGACGTAGCCGTTGCCGCCGCGGTTGACGAGCAGCATGGCGTTGATGAACAGCGGGTGGTCCATGGTGACCTCCGGGATTCTGCAGGCCGCAAACATCAGCGCAAGGCCCTCGTGAGCATCCCGCTTAGCCGCAGAGGCATCTCCCTCCAAGTAGTTGGTTATGCGCCGCTTCCCTCCGCCAGCCTGTACTGCCGCAACTGCAGCAGATGTTGCTCGGCGCTTTTCCTCGATCGCGGAAGCCATCTTTTCGTATTTGGTGCGCATCTCGTTGCGTACGTCTTGCGGTGCCTTCTTGCAAAGCATCACCTTGCGACGCTTCATTCCCTTCCACGAGCTCAGGTGCTGCGCGCAACGAATGGCTGCACCGGTGAAAAATTTGAAGCAGTACTTACACTCGTACTGCTGTACTTTGCCTTCTTCCCGCACAATGAGGCTGAAATGTTTGAAGACAGCGCGTTCCGGCATGTCACGAAGGTAATCCCTACCCTCAGGTCGAACAATCCGAGAACTCTGCACTGTCTGAACGGATGGCGGTGTGCATGGCTGGCTAGACATTACGAAAGAGACGGGGAACTGATGAATTGCGTAGTTGCTCGCAACCCACTAAGTAGCACAACGAGAGAAGGGAACATTGGGACATTTGGTTGGAGTGAGTAGATGGGAGGGGATTCAATGCGGTAACAAACAGAGCGCACAAAATGTGTACGTGAAAACGCGACTTGACGAATTGACACAACCAATCTCGATTGCGTGGGTTGAACCCACGTCCACGATTGGACAAGTCACGTTCGTGCAATTCGCCTTAGGCAAAACGCACGTCGTGAAATTCCGCATTTTTCCGTATGTTCGTTTTTTTTTTTTCGCCCGGGCTGCCCCAAAACAAATTTGCCGAGCGTATAGCGGATTCGCTTGCGTATAGCGTGTTGCGTGTATACGCAAGTGGATATCCGCTAAACGCAAACAGGCCTGAGCGTTTATTGCAACTTAGAATGAAACACCTCACACGGAGACAGGGAACAGGGAGAAGGGGACACAGAGAAAGGGGGGAGTAGGGAAGGGGACGGGGGAAAGCAGGGAAGAGAATGGGAGGAAGCAGGGAAGGGGATGGGGGGAAGCAGGGAAGGGGATGGGGGGAAGCAGGGAAGGGGATGGGGGGAAGCAGGGAAAGGGATGGTGGGAAGTAGAGAAGGGGAAATGGGGAAGCAGGGAAGGGGATGGGGGTAAGCAAGGAAGGGGATGGGGGTAAGCAGGGAATGGGATGGGGGAAAGCAAGGAAGGGAATGGGGGGAATCAGGGAAGGGGATGGGGGAAAGCAAGGAAGGGAATGGGGGGAATCAGGGAAGGGGATGGGGGAAAGTAGGGAAGGAGATAGGGGAAAGCAAGGAAGGGAATGGGGGGAAGCACAGAAGGGGATGGGGGAAAGCAGGGAAGGAGATGGGGGAAAGCAGGGAAGAGAATGGGAGGAATCAGGGAAGTGGATGGGGAAAAGCAGGGAAGCAGGGAAGGGGATGGGGAGAAGCAGGGAAGGGGATACAGGGAATCAGGGAAGGGGATGGAGGGAAGCAGGGAAGGGGACACGGGGAATCAAGGAAGGGGATGGGGGGAAGCAGGGAAGGGGACACGGGGAAGCAGGGAAGGGGGTGGGTGGAAGCAAGGAAGCGGACATGGGGAAGCAGGGAAGGGGAGGGGGGGAAGCGACATGGGGAATCAGGGAAGGGGATGGGGGGAAGCAGGGAAGTGGACACGGGGAATCAAGGAAGGGGATGGGGGGAAGCAGGGAAGGGGACACGAGGAAGCAGGGAAGGGGGTGGGTGGAAGCAGGGCAGCGGACATGGGGAAGCAGGGAAGGGGAGGGGGGGAAGCAGTGAAGGGGATGGGGGGAATGTTGAAATGAACGAACAGGAATGGATGAACTAGCAGTGAAAACAGTACAAGTACCTAACCCTAGAATTGTGTACCCCGTATAGGCTAACCCACTGTAGCCTAAACAAGCACAACAACATATATAATGTTTGACAGGGAAGCAGGGAAGGGGAGGGGGGAAAGCAGGGAAGGGGATTGGAGGCGGATGGAAGGGGATGGGGAGGGTGGGAGAGGTAAGCAGTGTGGGGGAAATTTGCGATTATTGGGGGGAGGGAAGGGCGTGTGTAGGGGTAGAAAAGAGAGGGTGACAAGTGTGCGCGATGGGAAGGGAGACGGGAGGGATGGCGAGGGCGACGCGGCGTGGATGGCAGGGCGGAAGGGAGGGCGACGGGCGGAAGTGAGGGCAACGGGCGAAAGGGAGGGCGACAGGCGGAAGGGAGGGCGACGGGCGGAAGGGAGGGCGACGGGCAGAAGGGAGGGCGACGGGCGGAAGGGAGGGCGACGGGCGGATGGGAGGGCGACGCGCGGAAGGGAGGGCGACGGGCGGAAGGGAGGGCGACGGGCGTAACGGAGGGCGACGGGCGGATGAGAGGGCGACGCGCGGAAAGGAGGGCGACGCGCGGAAGGGAGGGCGACGGGTGGAAGGGAGGGCGACAGGCGGAAGGAAGGGCGACGGGCAAAAGGGTGGGCGACGAGCGGATGGAAGGCGACGGGCGGAAGGGAGGGCGGCGAATGGAAGCAAGAGACGAACGGGAGCGTGTGCGATGAAAGGTTACGTGAGTGACGTAAGGAAGCGTGGGCGACGTAAGGAAGCCAAAGTGACGTAAGGAAGCGTAGGTGACGTAAGGAAGCCAAAGTGATGTAAGGAAGCGTGGGCGACATAAGGAAGCAACTACCAGGAGCGAAGGAACTGAAGGCGTCGCGGGCAGGCGAAGGCGACGGGGGCAAGCATGATTTACAAAGCAATTCTAATTCGTTCACTGATAAATCACTGGCAGAAAAAAGAGATAGGGGGTGAACACTTGGGCGCGAATAGCGGGTGAACTACGTGTAGTATGACGTGCATTTAGTACCAGATGGTATTTTAGTGTCTTGTCACCGACATCTGATTGGGTACGAAATTTACGATTTCACTTCGGTCGTAGACTCAACAAAAGCAGAGCAGGGCCCAGTTCGGCAGGCATTAAAAAACGGTTTCCCCGAATGGGCTACAGTAAACCAACCACCCTAGAACCTTCTTTGATAAGCGCGTGAAAGGTTATCTAGGCTCGATATAAGCAGACCATCGCCGAGCCAGGCAGTAATGGAATGCCAGCCGAACACCCCTTTTGACGCTGGCATTTTCCACCAGAGGAATCTTCCTCGATCCCTATTTCTCAGGCAAATGGTCCATTTTCTGATACGCCGCACTATGCGGCCTCGAGGGCCCGCACCACACGGGGTATCAGTGATTCGGGGCAATCACACATTGCCCTGAAAAAAACAAATCCGGGTCTTTCATGCCCCTCTTCTTGCCAGCTGGAAAATCACACATCACCAACACACCATCACTAAGGGCGTATCTTTGGCTCCGGTCATGAGCACTGTTCATTCTACTGTTTGGGTCATGCGGAATTTGCGCATGACCCGAAGTGGGCTGCCAAGCCGCGCGCGACCCCAACTTTGGGTCAATGTGCAGGTGTTGGGCGACTGACGTGCACGACCCACCCCCAACCAATCACCTGGTTGCACGATTCTGGATTTACTGCCATTTTTTGGCGGTCGTCAGTCGAGTGTCACATGTGGGCAATGTCCCACGTCTTACCCCTCTGCACCCAACCACTCGGCAAATTGACCCCAGTGACCATTAGTGGGTCAAAAAATTCCCGCGTCGCCCTCCCAATATTTGGGGATTCACGCTGGGAATTTTGACGATTGTGTTTTTTCGGTGGGTTTCGCGTGGTTTCGCGTGGGTATTGCTAAGGATGTTTCGAACTGTTCTGGCATCCCTCCATTGGATGCGACTGTTGTGGGGAGCCTGATTTTGGCGCTAAAACCTTCGCGGCTCATTGGGAGTCGCATGAGTTCGGAGGACCCAAAGTGGCGTTTTATGTTGTTTGGGTCATCCGTAAATTGCGGATGCCCGGAACAGTGTCCATGACCCGAACTTGGATACGCCCTATTTTTTCCGACGTCCACCACTGGTTTGCAGGGCTGCCCGGGCTGCCAGTACAGTGATCTGGGCTCCATCAGCGCAGCTGCATGCGAGCTTCTGCGAAGTGTCATTTTGGGTTGAGCCATTAATCTAGGCCCATTTAATGCCAACCGAACAGTCGGGCCCATTCTTCCAAAGTTAAACTGCAGCTACAGTCTGACTTCGCAGCTGTTTAGAGGGGCCATTTTTTGGGGGCCCGTTAAAAATGCCCATAATGGCCATAATAGCCATAATGCCTGCCGAACTGGGCCCAGGTGTGGTGAATCCCTTCCGGCGGGGAATCTGCCACGCTGGACTCGATCAGGTACACTTTTGTGGCAGATACTGGATCTAGCACTAAACTTTTTGAACAGAACCTCAGTCCGTGTTCACGGTCATCCCTACACAAGAATTGACCTCGAGATCACCACATGCAGCAGAATACAAAGCTTCAGTAATTCCGCCATTTATCATCCGCCTAGACTGAGTTGTTGCGCGCATCGCCGCATTTCCATTTTCACGCCAGCTTCGCAGACCATCTGCTACTCGTTGTCAGGAAAACAGGTGGGCATGGCAGGGGTTGCTGCGGTATTCACGCCTAGTCGAGCATTGCGCCAATCTCGTCATTTGCCGGCTTCTCCTAATTCGAGCACCAGGAACCATCGTCACTCAACTCGTTCGCGCGCCGGACGATCTCTTTCGCACCAGCCGCGAAATGCGGGGAATGGTCCGGCATTCCGAACATTCACTCCTGACAAGAGGTTCTTAACCGGCGAATCCCTAGCGCCAGCATTGTTCTCCAGCTTTAGTTCCTCACACAGCTCCAATCGCTCTAAGCTTGCAGCTTCTCGCGGTCCGGTTGCCGTGAAGGCCGCTGACGGGGGATTCGTCGCAGCAGCGGCAGTCGCGGCGGATTTGGCAGTGGGGAAGAGCGCGAAAGCAGCGGAGTTCGAGCGGACGCTGGGATGTCGGCGCTACGTGTACCACGTGGAAGGGGGAGGACAGGTGAGTGGGGAGGGGAGTTGAGAGGGTGGGAGAGGGCAGGTGAGAGGGGAGGAAGGCAGTAGACTCAAACGTTGTTGAAATGTCTGGCAATACGTGTACCACGTGAAAGAGGGAGGGGGCAGGTGAGAAGGGGGAGCGCAGGTGAGAAAGGGGAGGGCAGGTGAGAAGGGGGAGCGCAGGTGAGAAAGGGGAGGGCAGGTGAGAAGGGGGAGCGCAGGTGAGAAAGGGGAGGGCAGGTGAGAAGGGGGAGCGCAGGTGAGAAAGGAGAGGGCAGGTGAGAAGGGGGAACGCAGGTGAGAAAGGGGAGGGCAGGTGAGAAGGGGGAACGCAGGTGAGGGTGGGAAGGGCAGTGGGGAGGAAAGGCTCCAGTTTGGCTGCTGGAAATGCCAAGCTAATGTGGCGTTCATTCTGGTGTGAGGGAAATATGGATTTCACTGCACGGGAAACTACAATGCAAGTGCAATATTCAAAGTGAGAGAAATCTGAACACGGGAGAAATTCTGGAGAGCAAAGAGTGCATGTGGAAAGGTGGTGGCGACTCTGAGATACATCAGACAATGAAACAAATCTCTCACCTGGCCCTCCTAACCCCCCCCCTCAAGCTTAGGAGTCCTCTCAAGTACCCATGCTTATACTCTCAAGTACCCATGCTTATACTCTCAAGTACCCATGCTTATACTCTCAAGTACCCATGCTTATACTCTCAAGTACCCATGCTTATACTTTCAAGTACCCATGCTTATACTCTCAAGTACCCATGCTTATACTCTCAAGTACCCATGCTTATACTTTCAAGTACCCATGCTTATACTCTCAAGTATCCATGCTTATACTCTCAAGTACCCATGCTTATACTTTCAAGTACCCATGCTTATACTCTCAAGTACCCATGCTTATACTTTCAAGTACCCATGCTTATACTCTCAAGTACCCATGCTTATACTCTCAAGTACCCATGCTTATACTTTCAAGTACCCATGCTTATACTTTCAAGTACCCATGCTTATACTTTCAAGTACCCATGCTTATACTCTCAAGTACCCATGCTTATACTCTCAAGTACCCATGCTTATACTCTCAAGTACCCATGCTTATACTTTCAAGTACCCATGCTTATACTCTCAAGTACCCATGCTTATACTCTCAAGTACCCATGCTTATACTTTCAAGTACCCATGCTTATACTCTCAAGTACCCATGCTTATACTCTCAAGTACCCATGCTTATACTCTCAAGTACCCATGCTTATGCTCTCAAGTACTCAACCGCCTTCAGGTGACAGCATACGTGGTGAAGCACAATGGGTGTTTCTAATTCTTCAGCCGACTCAAATCCACCAACCTACCCTCGTCCCCCACCCCCTTTTCCCCCGTGCCCGTTTCCAGGTGTCAGCATACGTGGTGGAATGCATATGCAACGGGTGCATCTAATTCTTCAGCCGACTCAAACCCACCAACCTACCCTCGTCCCCCACCCCCTTTCCCCCCGGTGCCCGTCTCCAGGTGACAGCATACGTGGTGGAATGCAACGTGCATTTAACTCTTCAACCGACTCAAACCCCACCTAACCTGGCTACCCTCTCCCCGCGTGCAGGTGACGGCATACGTGGTGGAGCGCAACGGGTGTTTCGACGTGCTGCTGGACGTGGCTGCTGCCCACATGCAGTGCCGCCACGACCTGCCTCTCTGCATCCACTGGGTACGTACCTCTGCCTGCCTGTCTGTCCGTCCGTCCATCCGTCCATCTATCTGTCCGTCCGTCTGTCCGTCCGTCTGTCTGTCCGTCCACATGTATGGCTGTCTCCCACCCTTCATTGTGTTTCGACGTGCTGCTGGACGTGGCTGCTGCCCACATGCAGCGCCGCCACGACCTGCCGCTCTGCATCCACTGGGTATGCCTTTCAGTCCGTAAGCAAGTCATCACTCATCTCCTGCCTCTCATGTCCTCCCTCAATCTCCCACCCACCTGCCTTCATTCTACTGCTTTGTTCTTCTCTCTTCTCAAATGGTCCGTTGTATTAATTCTCTGCCTCTGCACATGCGCCACCTCTCCCCACTCTTCCCCGCCCCTGGTGCAAATTCTGCATGGGCAGAATTCCCACACGTGGGCAAATTCTGCTCTGGTGGCTCCACCTGGTTCCAGGTCTCTGGGAGGGTGAACAGTGCCTCGCTTCTCCCTTCCAAACAGACACCGCCACGTCATCAGGCACCGTTTTCGGAAAAAAAAGAAGAGGAAGAAGAAAAACTCCTACCTTCCTCCCTCCATCCCTGTTCCTTCCTCAGGGCATATTCCGCTCGGATCGCTCCACGTGGTTCCTTCTGAACGACTCCCAGACTCCGCCGGGCACCGTGTTCCTGCGAGGAAAGTGAGTCCTCGGAACGAGCCTGGTTTTTTAGATCCGCCTTTGTGTCCTCGGAAGGTTCCCCTGTCGTGCATGCACCCATGCCTATCCATCCATACCATATACACGCATGATATGTGCATGAGTGCATGTATGGGCTGGTGTTGGAGGAGCCATAAGTGCATGCATGTATGTGTATACACACATTACACCAGCCTCTCCCACAACCCCATCCCCTGCTTTCCCACCCCTTTCACCACACCACACCACACAGGACCCATTTCCCAAAGCTCACCAACCCCACCAACCCCATCTCCCCCCACCCCTTCTTCCTTCAGAGACCAACGCCATGCGCACGGTGCTGCTGCAGGACGACCCCACACCCGGCCACCGCTCCCTGGTGCTCTCTGTCATGGGCTGTGGTGGCACCAACTCACCAAAAGCACTCTCCGTCCCACTCACCAACCCCACTCAACCCATCCCCTCCTTTCTTCCCTCAAAGGACCGATGCCCTGCGCACGGTGTTGCAGGACGACCCCATACCCGGCCACCTCTCCTCTCTCTCCCACACACAGAACCTCCCTCCCCCACCCACCCACCCACCCGCCCACCCCACAGGACCGACGCCATGCGCGCGGTGCTACAGGACGACCCCACGCCAGGCCACCACTCGCTGGTGCTCTCCCAACTTGATCCCCCTGTTCCTCGCCCCACCCTCTCCCCCCTTCTTCCCTTCCCCCGACCACCACACTCGAAGGACCGACGCCATGCGCACGGTGCTGCAAGACGACCCCACCCCCAGGCACCAAGGGCTCCTTGGTGCTCTCGTTTGACGCGGAGCTCGCCCCCTTCTCCCCGTGCCCCCCTTCCTCTTCCTCCCCCCCCCCCTCCCCCCCCCTCCTCAAAGGACCGACGCCATGCGCACGGTGCTGCAGGACGACCCCACGCCCGGGCACCGCTCGCTGGTGCTCTCGTTTGACGCGGAGCTCGCCCCCTTCTCCCTCAACCTCGTGCTCTTCCAGCCGCTCGCTGGCGTGACCGGCAGCGGCATCGGAGACAAGTCCCTCGAAGGGCTCTGGCTCAGGTGAGTGGGGATTTTGTGGGAGGGCTGTGAATATGTAACCGTGTTACCGGGGGTTAGTGATGGGTGGTTCGCCCAGCTCGCCCCCTTCTCCCTCAACCTCGTGCTCTTCCTGCCGCTGCCTGCCCTTCGGAGGCATCGAAGGGCTCTGGCTCAGGTGAGTCATGGGGAGGGGTCTGGCTCAGGTGAGTCATGGGGAGGGGTCTGGCTCAGGTGAGTCATGGGGAGGGGTCTGGCTCAGGTGAGTCATGGGGAGGGGTCTGGCTTAGGTGAGTCATGGGGAGGGGTCTGGCACAGGTGAGTCATGGGGAGGGGTCTGGCTTAGGTGAGTCATGGGGAGGGGTCTGGCTTAGGTGAGTCATGGGGAGGGGTCTGGCTCAGGTGAGTCATGGGGAGGGGTCTGGCTCAGGTGAGTCATGGGGAGGGGTCTGGCTCAGGTGAGTCATGGGGAGGGGTCTGGCTCAGGTGAGTCATGGGGAGGGGTCTGGCTCAGGTGAGTCATGGGGAGGGGTCTGGCTCAGGTGAGTCATGGGGAGGGGTCTGGCTTAGGTGAGTCATGGGGAGGGGTCTGGCTTAGGTGAGTCATGGGGAGGGGTCTGGCTCAGGTGAGTCATGGGGAGGGGTCTGGCTTAGGTGAGTCATGGGGAGGGGTCTGGCACAGGTGAGTCATGGGGAGGGGTCTGGCTCAGGTGAGTCATGGGGAGGGGTCTGGCTCAGGTGAGTCATGGGGAGGGGTCTGGCTCAGGTGAGTCATGGGGAGGGGTCTGGCTCAGGTGAGTCATGGGGAGGGGTCTGGCTCAGGTGAGTCATGGGGAGGGGTCTGGCTCAGGTGAGTCATGGGGAGGGGTCTGGCTCAGGTGAGTCATGGGGAGGGGTCTGGCTCAGGTGAGTCATGGGGAGGGGTCTGGCTTAGGTGAGTCATGGGGAGGGGTCTGGCTCAGGTGAGTCATGGGGAGGGGTCTGGCTTAGGTGAGTCATGGGGAGGGGTCTGGCACAGGTGAGTCATGGGGAGGGGTCTGGCTTAGGTGAGTCATGGGGAGGGGTCTGGCTTAGGTGAGTCATGGGGAGGGGTCTGGCTCAGGTGAGTCATGGGGAGGGGTCTGGCTCAGGTGAGTCATGGGGAGGGGTCTGGCTCAGGTGAGTCATGGGGAGGGGTCTGGCTCAGGTGAGTCATGGGGAGGGGTCTGGCTCAGGTGAGTCATGGGGAGGGGTCTGGCTCAGGTGAGTCATGGGGAGGGGTCTGGCTTAGGTGAGTCATGGGGAGGGGTCTGGCTTAGGTGAGTCATGGGGAGGGGTCTGGCTCAGGTGAGTCATGGGGAGGGGTCTGGCTTAGGTGAGTCATGGGGAGGGGTCTGGCACAGGTGAGTCATGGGGAGGGGTCTGGCTCAGGTGAGTCATGGGGAGGGGTCTGGCTCAGGTGAGTCATGGGGAGGGGTCTGGCTCAGGTGAGTCATGGGGAGGGGTCTGGCTCAGGTGAGTCATGGGGAGGGGTCTGGCTCAGGTGAGTCATGGGGAGGGGTCTGGCTCAGGTGAGTCATGGGGAGGGGTCTGGCTCAGGTGAGTCATGGGGAGGGGTCTGGCTCAGGTGAGTCATGGGGAGGGGTCTGGCTCAGGTGAGTCATGGGGAGGGGTCTGGCTCAGGTGAGTCATGGGAGGGGTCTGGCTCAGGTGAGTCATGGGGAGGGGTCTGGCTCAGGTGAGTCATGGGGAGGGGTCTGGCTCAGGTGAGTCATGGGGAGGGGTCTGGCTCAGGTGAGTCATGGGGAGGGGTCTGGCTTAGGTGAGTCATGGGGAGGGGTCTGGCTCAGGTGAGTCATGGGGAGGGGTCTGGCTCAGGTGAGTCATGGGGAGGGGTCTGGCTCAGGTGAGTCATGGGGAGGGGTCTGGCTCAGGTGAGTCATGGGGAGGGGTCTGGCTCAGGTGAGTCATGGGGAGGGGTCTGGCTCAGGTGAGTCATGGGGAGGGGTCTGGCTCAGGTGAGTCATGGGGAGGGGTCTGGCTCAGGTGAGTCATGGGGAGGGGTCTGGCTTAGGTGAGTCATGGGGAGGGGTCTGGCTCAGGTGAGTCATGGGGAGGGGTCTGGCTCAGGTGAGTCATGGGGAGGGGTCTGGCTTAGGTGAGTCATGGGGAGTGGTCTGGCTCAGGTGAGTCATGGGGAGGGGTCTGGCTCAGGTGAGTGATGGGGAGGGGTCTGGCTTAGGTGAGTCATGGGGAGGGGTCTGGCTCAGGTGAGTCATGGGGAGGGGTCTGGCTCAGGTGAGTCATGGGGAGGGGTCTGGCTCAGGTGAGTCATGGGGAGGGGTCTGGCTCAGGTGAGTCATGGGGAGGGGTCTGGCTCAGGTGAGTCATGGGGAGGGGTCTGGCTTAGGTGAGTCATGGGGAGTGGTCTGGCTCAGGTGAGTCATGGGGAGGGGTCTGGCTCAGGTGAGTGATGGGGAGGGGTCTGGCTTAGGTGAGTCATGGGGAGGGGTCTGGCACCGGTGAGTCATGGGGAGGGGTCTGGCTCAGGTGAGTCATGGGGAGGAGTCTGGCTCAGGTGAGTCATGGGGAGGGGTCTGGCTCAGGTGAGTCATGGGGAGGGGTCTGGCTCAGGTGAGTCATGGGGAGGGGTCTGGCTCAGGTGAGTCATGGGGAGGGGTCTGGCTCAGGTGAGTCATGGGGAGGGGTCTGGCTCAGGTGAGTCATGGGGAGGGGTCTGGCTCAGGTGAGTCATGGGGAGGGGTCTGGCTCAGGTGAGTCATGGGGAGGGGTCTGGCTCAGGTGAGTCATGGGGAGGGGTCTGGCTTAGGTGAGTCATGGGGAGGGGTCTGGCTCAGGTGAGTCATGGGGAGGGGTCTGGCTTAGGTGAGTCATGGGGAGGGGTCTGGCTCAGGTGAGTCATGGGGAGGGGTCTGGCTCAGGTGAGTCATGGGGAGGGGTCTGGCTCAGGTGAGTCATGGGGAGGGGTCTGGCTTAGGTGAGTCATGGGGAGGGGTCTGGCTCAGGTGAGTCATGGGGAGGGGTCTGGCTCAGGTGAGTCATGGGGAGGGGTCTGGCTTAGGTGAGTCATGGGGAGGGGTCTGGCACAGGTGAGTCATGGGGAGGGGTCTGGCTTAGGTGAGTCATGGGGAGGGGTCTGGCTTAGGTGAGTCATGGGGAGGGGTCTGGCTCAGGTGAGTCATGGGGAGGGGTCTGGCTCAGGTGAGTCATGGGGAGGGGTCTGGCTCAGGTGAGTCATGGGGAGGGGTCTGGCTCAGGTGAGTCATGGGGAGGGGTCTGGCTCAGGTGAGTCATGGGGAGGGGTCTGGCTTAGGTGAGTCATGGGGAGTGGTCTGGCTCAGGTGAGTCATGGGGAGGGGTCTGGCTCAGGTGAGTGATGGGGAGGGGTCTGGCTTAGGTGAGTCATGGGGAGGGGTCTGGCACCGGTGAGTCATGGGGAGGGGTCTGGCTCAGGTGAGTCATGGGGAGGGGTCTGGCTCAGGTGAGTCATGGGGAGGGGTCTGGCTCAGGTGAGTCATGGGGAGGGGTCTGGCTCAGGTGAGTCATGGGGAGGGGTCTGGCTCAGGTGAGTCATGGGGAGGGGTCTGGCTCAGGTGAGTCATGGGGAGGGGTCTGGCTCAGGTGAGTCATGGGGAGGGGTCTGGCTCAGGTGAGTCATGGGGAGGGGTCTGGCTCAGGTGAGTCATGGGGAGGGGTCTGGCTCAGGTGAGTCATGGGGAGGGGTCTGGCTTAGGTGAGTCATGGGGAGGGGTCTGGCTTAGGTGAGTCATGGGGAGGGGTCTGGCACAGGTGAGTCATGGGGAGGGGTCTGGCTTAGGTGAGTCATGGGGAGGGGTCTGGCTTAGGTGAGTCATGGGGAGGGGTCTGGCTCAGGTGAGTCATGGGGAGGGGTCTGGCTCAGGTGAGTCATGGGGAGGGGTCTGGCTCAGGTGAGTCATGGGGAGGGGTCTGGCTCAGGTGAGTCATGGGGAGGGGTCTGGCTCAGGTGAGTCATGGGGAGGGGTCTGGCTTAGGTGAGTCATGGGGAGTGGTCTGGCTCAGGTGAGTCATGGGGAGGGGTCTGGCTCAGGTGAGTCATGGGGAGGGGTCTGGCTTAGGTGAGTCATGGGGAGGGGTCTGGCACCGGTGAGTCATGGGGAGGGGTCTGGCTCAGGTGAGTCATGGGGAGGGGTCTGGCTCAGGTGAGTCATGGGGAGGGGTCTGGCTCAGGTGAGTCATGGGGAGGGGTCTGGCTCAGGTGAGTCATGGGGAGGGGTCTGGCTCAGGTGAGTCATGGGGAGGGGTCTGGCTCAGGTGAGTCATGGGGAGGGGTCTGGCTCAGGTGAGTCATGGGGAGGGGTCTGGCTCAGGTGAGTCATGGGGAGGGGTCTGGCTCAGGTGAGTCATGGGGAGGGGTCTGGCTCAGGTGAGTCATGGGGAGGGGTCTGGCTCAGGTGAGTCATGGGGAGGGGTCTGGCTTAGGTGAGTCATGGGGAGGGGTCTGGCTCAGGTGAGTCATGGGGAGGGGTCTGGCTCAGGTGAGTCATGGGGAGGGGTCTGGCTTAGGTGAGTCATGGGGAGGGGTCTGGCACAGGTGAGTCATGGGGAGGGGTCTGGCTTAGGTGAGTCATGGGGAGGGGTCTGGCTTAGGTGAGTCATGGGGAGGGGTCTGGCTTAGGTGAGTCATGGGGAGGGGTCTGGCACCGGTGAGTCATGGGGAGGGGTCTGGCTCAGGTGAGTCATGGGGAGGGGTCTGGCTCAGGTGAGTCATGGGGAGGGGTCTGGCTCAGGTGAGTCATGGGGAGGGGTCTGGCTCAGGTGAGTCATGGGGAGGGGTCTGGCTCAGGTGAGTCATGGGGAGGGGTCTGGCTTAGGTGAGTCATGGGGAGGGGTCTGGCTTAGGTGAGTCATGGGGAGGGGTCTGGCTCAGGTGAGTCATGGGGAGGGGTCTGGCTCAGGTGAGTCATGGGGAGGGGTCTGGCTCAGGTGAGTCATGGGGAGGGGTCTGGCTCAGGTGAGTCATGGGAGGGGTCTGGCTCAGGTGAGTCATGGGGAGGGGTCTGGCTCAGGTGAGTCATGGGGAGGGGTCTGGCTCAGGTGAGTCATGGGGAGGGGTCTGGCTTAGGTGAGTCATGGGGAGGGGTCTGGCTCAGGTGAGTCATGGGGAGGGGTCTGGCTCAGGTGAGTCATGGGGAGGGGTCTGGCTTAGGTGAGTCATGGGGAGGGGTCTGGCACAGGTGAGTCATGGGGAGGGGTCTGGCTCAGGTGAGTCATGGGGAGGGGTCTGGCTCAGGTGAGTCATGGGGAGGGGTCTGGCTCAGGTGAGTCATGGGGAGGGGTCTGGCTCAGGTGAGTCATGGGGAGGGGTCTGGCTCAGGTGAGTCATGGGGAGGGGTCTGGCTCAGGTGAGTCATGGGGAGGGGTCTGGCTCAGGTGAGTCATGGGGAGGGGTCTGGCTCAGGTGAGTCATGGGGAGGGGTCTGGCTCAGGTGAGTCATGGGGAGGGGTCTGGCTCAGGTGAGTCATGGGGAGGGGTCTGGCTCAGGTGAGTCATGGGGAGGGGTCTGGCTCAGGTGAGTCATGGGGAGGGGTCTGGCTCAGGTGAGTCATGGGGAGGGGTCTGGCTCAGGTGAGTCATGGGGAGGGGTCTGGCTCAGGTGAGTCATGGGGAGGGGTCTGGCTTAGGTGAGTCATGGGGAGGGGTCTGGCTCAGGTGAGTCATGGGGAGGGGTCTGGCTTAGGTGAGTCATGGGGAGGGGTCTGGCTTAGGTGAGTCATGGGGAGGGGTCTGGCTCAGGTGAGTCATGGGGAGGGGTCTGGCTCAGGTGAGTCATGGGGAGGGGTCTGGCTCAGGTGAGTCATGGGGAGGGGTCTGGCTCAGGTGAGTCATGGGGAGGGGTCTGGCTCAGGTGAGTCATGGGGAGGGGTCTGGCTCAGGTGAGTCATGGGGAGGGGTCTGGCTCAGGTGAGTCATGGGGAGGGGTCTGGCTTAGGTGAGTCATGGGGAGGGGTCTGGCTCAGGTGAGTCATGGGGAGGGGTCTGGCTCAGGTGAGTCATGGGGAGGGGTCTGGCTTAGGTGAGTCATGGGGAGGGGTCTGGCACAGGTGAGTCATGGGGAGGGGTCTGGCTCAGGTGAGTCATGGGGAGGGGTCTGGCTCAGGTGAGTCATGGGGAGGGGTCTGGCTCAGGTGAGTCATGGGGAGGGGTCTGGCTCAGGTGAGTCATGGGCAGGGGTCTGGCTCAGGTGAGTCATGGGGAGGGGTCTGGCTCAGGTGAGTCATGGGGAGGGGTCTGGCTCAGGTGAGTCATGGGGAGGGGTCTGGCTCAGGTGAGTCATGGGGAGGGGTCTGGCTCAGGTGAGTCATGGGGAGGGGTCTGGCTTAGGTGAGTCATGGGGAGGGGTCTGGCTCAGGTGAGTCATGGGGAGGGGTCTGGCTCAGGTGAGTCATGGGGAGGGGTCTGGCACCGGTGAGTCATGGGGAGGGGTCTGGCACAGGTGAGTCATGGGGAGGGGTCTGGCTTAGGTGAGTCATGGGAGGGGTCTGGCTTAGGTGAGTCATGGGGAGGGGTCTGGCTCAGGTGAGTCATGGGGAGGGGTCTGGCTCAGGTGAGTCATGGGGAGGGGTCTGGCTCAGGTGAGTCATGGGGAGGGGTCTGGCTCAGGTGAGTCATGGGGAGGGGTCTGGCTCAGGTGAGTCATGGGGAGGGGTCTGGCTTAGGTGAGTCATGGGGAGTGGTCTGGCTCAGGTGAGTCATGGGGAGGGGTCTGGCTCAGGTGAGTGATGGGGAGGGGTCTGGCTTAGGTGAGTCATGGGGAGGGGTCTGGCACCGGTGAGTCATGGGGAGGGGTCTGGCTCAGGTGAGTCATGGGGAGGGGTCTGGCTCAGGTGAGTCATGGGGAGGGGTCTGGCTCAGGTGAGTCATGGGGAGGGGTCTGGCTCAGGTGAGTCATGGGGAGGGGTCTGGCTCAGGTGAGTCATGGGGAGGGGTCTGGCTCAGGTGAGTCATGGGGAGGGGTCTGGCTCAGGTGAGTCATGGGGAGGGGTCTGGCTCAGGTGAGTCATGGGGAGGGGTCTGGCTCAGGTGAGTCATGGGGAGGGGTCTGGCTCAGGTGAGTCATGGGGAGGGGTCTGGCTTAGGTGAGTCATGGGGAGGGGTCTGGCTTAGGTGAGTCATGGGGAGGGGTCTGGCTCAGGTGAGTCATGGGGAGGGGTCTGGCTCAGGTGAGTCATGGGGAGGGGTCTGGCTTAGGTGAGTCATGGGGAGGGGTCTGGCACAGGTGAGTCATGGGGAGGGGTCTGGCTTAGGTGAGTCATGGGGAGGGGTCTGGCTTAGGTGAGTCATGGGGAGGGGTCTGGCTCAGGTGAGTCATGGGGAGGGGTCTGGCTCAGGTGAGTCATGGGGAGGGGTCTGGCTCAGGTGAGTCATGGGGAGGGGTCTGGCTCAGGTGAGTCATGGGGAGGGGTCTGGCTCAGGTGAGTCATGGGGAGGGGTCTGGCTTAGGTGAGTCATGGGGAGTGGTCTGGCTCAGGTGAGTCATGGGGAGGGGTCTGGCTCAGGTGAGTGATGGGGAGGGGTCTGGCTTAGGTGAGTCATGGGGAGGGGTCTGGCACCGGTGAGTCATGGGGAGGGGTCTGGCTCAGGTGAGTCATGGGGAGGGGTCTGGCTCAGGTGAGTCATGGGGAGGGGTCTGGCTCAGGTGAGTCATGGGGAGGGGTCTGGCTCAGGTGAGTCATGGGGAGGGGTCTGGCTCAGGTGAGTCATGGGGAGGGGTCTGGCTCAGGTGAGTCATGGGGAGGGGTCTGGCTCAGGTGAGTCATGGGGAGGGGTCTGGCTCAGGTGAGTCATGGGGAGGGGTCTGGCTCAGGTGAGTCATGGGGAGGGGTCTGGCTCAGGTGAGTCATGGGGAGGGGTCTGGCTTAGGTGAGTCATGGGGAGGGGTCTGGCTTAGGTGATTCATGGGGAGGGGTCTGGCACAGGTGAGTCATGGGGAGGGGTCTGGCTTAGGTGAGTCATGGGGAGGGGTCTGGCTTAGGTGAGTCATGGGGAGGGGTCTGGCTCAGGTGAGTCATGGGGAGGGGTCTGGCTCAGGTGAGTCATGGGGAGGGGTCTGGCTCAGGTGAGTCATGGGGAGGGGTCTGGCTCAGGTGAGTCATGGGGAGGGGTCTGGCTCAGGTGAGTCATGGGGAGGGGTCTGGCTTAGGTGAGTCATGGGGAGTGGTCTGGCTCAGCTGAGTCATGGGGAGGGGTCTGGCTCAGGTGAGTGATGGGGAGGGGTCTGGCTTAGGTGAGTCATGGGGAGGGGTCTGGCACCGGTGAGTCATGGGGAGGGGTCTGGCTCAGGTGAGTCATGGGGAGGGGTCTGGCTCAGGTGAGTCATGGGGAGGGGTCTGGCTCAGGTGAGTCATGGGGAGGGGTCTGGCTCAGGTGAGTCATGGGGAGGGGTCTGGCTCAGGTGAGTCATGGGGAGGGGTCTGGCTCAGGTGAGTCATGGGGAGGGGTCTGGCTCAGGTGAGTCATGGGGAGGGGTCTGGCTCAGGTGAGTCATGGGGAGGGGTCTGGCTCAGGTGAGTCATGGGGAGGGGTCTGGCTCAGGTGAGTCATGGGGAGGGGTCTGGCTCAGGTGAGTCATGGGGAGGGGTCTGGCTTAGGTGAGTCATGGGGAGGGGTCTGGCTCAGGTGAGTCATGGGGAGGGGTCTGGCTCAGGTGAGTCATGGGAGGGGTCTGGCTTAGGTGAGTCATGGGGAGGGGTCTGGCACAGGTGAGTCATGGGGAGGGGTCTGGCTTAGGTGAGTCATGGGGAGGGGTCTGGCTTAGGTGAGTCATGGGGAGGGGTCTGGCTTAGGTGAGTCATGGGGAGGGGTCTGGCACCGGTGAGTCATGGGGAGGGGTCTGGCTCAGGTGAGTCATGGGGAGGGGTCTGGCTCAGGTGAGTCATGGGGAGGGGTCTGGCTCAGGTGAGTCATGGGGAGGGGTCTGGCTCAGGTGAGTCATGGGGAGGGGTCTGGCTCAGGTGAGTCATGGGGAGGGGTCTGGCTTAGGTGAGTCATGGGGAGGGGTCTGGCTTAGGTGAGTCATGGGGAGGGTCTGGCTCAGGTGAGTCATGGGGAGGGGTCTGGCTCAGGTGAGTCATGGGGAGGGGTCTGGCTCAGGTGAGTCATGGGGAGGGGTCTGGCTCAGGTGAGTCATGGGGAGGGGTCTGGCTCAGGTGAGTCATGGGGAGGGGTCTGGCTCAGGTGAGTCATGGGGAGGGGTCTGGCTCAGGTGAGTCATGGGGAGTGGTCTGGCTTAGGTGAGTCATGGGGAGGTGGTCTGGCTCAGGTGAGTCATGGGGAGGGGTCTGGCTCAGGTGAGTCATGGGGAGGGGTCTGGCTCAGGTGAGTCATGGGGAGGGGTCTGGCTCAGGTGAGTCATGGGGAGGGGTCTGGCTCAGGTGAGTCATGGGGAGGGGTCTGGCTCAGGTGAGTCATGGGGAGGGGTCTGGCTCAGGTGAGTCATGGGGAGGGGTCTGGCTCAGGTGAGTCATGGGGAGGGGTCTGGCTCAGGTGAGTCATGGGGAGGGGTCTGGCTCAGGTGAGTCATGGGGAGGGGTCTGGCTCAGGTGAGTCATGGGGAGGGGTCTGGCTCAGGTGAGTCATGGGGAGGGGTCTGGCTCAGGTGAGTCATGGGGAGGGGTCTGGCTCAGGTGAGTCATGGGGAGGGGTCTGGCTTAGGTGAGTCATGGGGAGGGGTCTGGCTCAGGTGAGTCATGGGGAGGGGTCTGGCTCAGGTGAGTCATGGGGAGGGGTCTGGCTTAGGTGAGTCATGGGGAGGGGTCTGGCATAGGTGAGTCATGGGGAGGGGTCTGGCTTAGGTGAGTCATGGGGAGGGGTCTGGCTTAGGTGAGTCATGGGGAGGGGTCTGGCTCAGGTGAGTCATGGGGAGGGGTCTGGCTCAGGTGAGTCATGGGGAGGGGTCTGGCTCAGGTGAGTCATGGGGAGGGGTCTGGCTCAGGTGAGTCATGGGGAGGGGTCTGGCTCAGGTGAGTCATGGGGAGGGGTCTGGCTCAGGTGAGTCATGGGGAGGGGTCTGGCTCAGGTGAGTCATGGGGAGGGGTCTGGCTCAGGTGAGTCATGGGGAGGGGTCTGGCTCAGGTGAGTCATGGGGAGGGGTCTGGCTTAGGTGAGTCATGGGGAGGGGTCTGGCTCAGGTGAGTCATGGGGAGGGGTCTGGCTCAGGTGAGTCATGGGGAGGGGTCTGGCTTAGGTGAGTCATGGGGAGGGGTCTGGCACAGGTGAGTCATGGGGAGGGGTCTGGCTTAGGTGAGTCATGGGGAGGGGTCTGGCTTAGGTGAGTCATGGGGAGGGGTCTGGCTCAGGTGAGTCATGGGGAGGGGTCTGGCTCAGGTGAGTCATGGGGAGGGGTCTGGCTCAGGTGAGTCATGGGGATGGGTCTGGCTTAGGTGAGTCATGGGGAGTGGTCTGGCTCAGGTGAGTCATGGGGAGGGGTCTGGCTCAGGTGAGTGCATGGGGAGGGGTCTGGCTTAGGTGAGTCATGGGGAGGGGTCTGGCACCGGTGAGTCATGGGGAGGGGTCTGGCTCAGGTGAGTCATGGGGAGGGGTCTGGCTCAGGTGAGTCATGGGGAGGGGTCTGGCTCAGGTGAGTCATGGGGAGGGGTCTGGCTTAGGTGAGTCATGGGGAGGGGTCTGGCTCAGGTGAGTCATGGGGAGGGGTCTGGCTCAGGTGAGTCATGGGGAGGGGTCTGGCTTAGGTGAGTCATGGGGAGGGGTCTGGCACAGGTGAGTCATGGGGAGGGGTCTGGCTTAGGTGAGTCATGGGGAGGGGTCTGGCTTAGGTGAGTCATGGGGAGGGGTCTGGCTCAGGTGAGTCATGGGGAGGGGTCTGGCTCAGGTGAGTCATGGGGAGGGGTCTGGCTCAGGTGAGTCATGGGGAGGGGTCTGGCTCAGGTGAGTCATGGGGAGGGGTCTGGCTCAGGTGAGTCATGGGGAGGGGTCTGGCTCAGGTGAGTCATGGGGAGGGGTCTGGCTCAGGTGAGTCATGGGGAGGGGTCTGGCTCAGGTGAGTCATGGGGAGGGGTCTGGCTCAGGTGAGTCATGGGGAGGGGTCTGGCTTAGGTGAGTCATGGGGAGGGGTCTGGCTCAGGTGAGTCATGGGGAGGGGTCTGGCTCAGGTGAGTCATGGGGAGGGGTCTGGCTTAGGTGAGTCATGGGGAGGGGTCTGGCACAGGTGAGTCATGGGGAGGGGTCTGGCTTAGGTGAGTCATGGGGAGGGGTCTGGCTTAGGTGAGTCATGGGGAGGGGTCTGGCTCAGGTGAGTCATGGGGAGGGGTCTGGCTCAGGTGAGTCATGGGGAGGGGTCTGGCTCAGGTGAGTCATGGGGATGGGTCTGGCTTAGGTGAGTCATGGGGAGTGGTCTGGCTCAGGTGAGTCATGGGGAGGGGTCTGGCTCAGGTGAGTGATGGGGAGGGGTCTGGCTTAGGTGAGTCATGGGGAGGGGTCTGGCACCGGTGAGTCATGGGGAGGGGTCTGGCTCAGGTGAGTCATGGGGAGGGGTCTGGCTCAGGTGAGTCATGGGGAGGGGTCTGGCTCAGGTGAGTCATGGGGAGGGGTCTGGCTCAGGTGAGTCATGGGGAGGGGTCTGGCTCAGGTGAGTCATGGGGAGGGGTCTGGCTCAGGTGAGTCATGGGGAGGGGTCTGGCTCAGGTGAGTCATGGGGAGGGGTCTGGCTCAGGTGAGTCATGGGGAGGGGTCTGGCTCAGGTGAGTCATGGGGAGGGGTCTGGCTCAGGTGAGTCATGGGGAGGGGTCTGGCTTAGGTGAGTCATGGGGAGGGGTCTGGCTCAGGTGAGTCATGGGGAGGGGTCTGGCTCAGGTGAGTCATGGGGAGGGGTCTGGCTTAGGTGAGTCATGGGGAGGGGTCTGGCACAGGTGAGTCATGGGGAGGGGTCTGGCTTAGGTGAGTCATGGGGAGGGGTCTGGCTTAGGTGAGTCATGGGGAGGGGTCTGGCTCAGGTGAGTCATGGGGAGGGGTCTGGCTCAGGTGAGTCATGGGGAGGGGTCTGGCTCAGGTGAGTCATGGGGAAGGGTCTGGCTCAGGTGAGTCATGGGGAGGGGTCTGGCTCAGGTGAGTCATGGGGAGGGGTCTGGCTTAGGTGAGTCATGGGGAGTGGTCTGGCTCAGGTGAGTCATGGGGAGGGGTCTGGCTCAGGTGAGTGATGGGGAGGGGTCTGGCTTAGGTGAGTCATGGGGAGGGGTCTGGCACCGGTGAGTCATGGGGAGGGGTCTGGCTCAGGTGAGTCATGGGGAGGAGTCTGGCTCAGGTGAGTCATGGGGAGGGGTCTGGCTCAGGTGAGTCATGGGGAGGGGTCTGGCTCAGGTGAGTCATGGGGAGGGGTCTGGCTCAGGTGAGTCATGGGGAGGGTTCTGGCTCAGGTGAGTCATGGGGAGGGGTCTGGCTTAGGTGAGTCATGGGGAGGGGTCTGGCTCAGGTGAGTCATGGGGAGGGGTCTGGCTCAGGTGAGTCATGGGGAGGGGTCTGGCTTAGGTGAGTCATGGGGAGGGGTCTGGCACAGGTGAGTCATGGGGGAGGGGTCTGGCTTAGGTGAGTCATGGGGAGGGGTCTGGCTTAGGTGAGTCATGGGGAGGGGTCTGGCTCAGGTGAGTCATGGGGAGGGGTCTGGCTCAGGTGAGTCATGGGGAGGGGTCTGGCTCAGGTGAGTCATGGGGAGGGGTATGGCTCAGGTGAGTCATGGGGAGGGGTCTGGCTCAGGTGAGTCATGGGGAGGGGTCTGGCTTAGGTGAGTCATGGGGAGGGGTCTGGCACCGGTGAGTCATGGGGAGGGGTCTGGCTCAGGTGAGTCATGGGGAGGGTTCTGGCTCAGGTGAGTCATGGGGAGGGGTCTGGCTTAGGTGAGTCATGGGGAGGGGTCTGGCTCAGGTGAGTCATGGGGAGGGGTCTGGCTCAGGTGAGTCATGGGGAGGGGTCTGGCTTAGGTGAGTCATGGGGAGGGGTCTGGCACAGGTGAGTCATGGGGAGGGGTCTGGCTTAGGTGAGTCATGGGGAGGGTCTGGCTTAGGTGAGTCATGGGGAGGGGTCTGGCACCGGTGAGTCATGGGGAGGGGTCTGGCTCAGGTGAGTCATGGGGAGGGTTCTGGCTCAGGTGAGTCATGGGGAGGGTCTGGCTAGGTGAGTCATGGGGAGGGGTCTGGCTTAGGTGAGTCATGGGGAGGGGTCTGGCTCAGGTGAGTCATGGGGAGGGGTCTGGCTCAGGTGAGTCATGGGGAGGGGTCTGGCTTAGGTGAGTCATGGGGAGGGGTCTGGCACAGGTGAGTCATGGGGAGGGGTCTGGCTTAGGTGAGTCATGGGGAGGGGTCTGGCTTAGGTGAGTCATGGGGAGGGGTCTGGCTCAGGTGAGTCATGGGGAGGGGTCTGGCTCAGGTGAGTCATGGGGAGGGGTCTGGCTCAGGTGAGTCATGGGGAGGGGTCTGGCTCAGGTGAGTCATGGGGAGGGGTCTGGCTTAGGTGAGTCATGGGGAGGGGTCTGGCACAGGTGAGTCATGGGGAGGGGTCTGGCTTAGGTGAGTCATGGGGAGGGGTCTGGCTTAGGTGAGTCATGGGGAGGGGTCTGGCTCAGGTGAGTCATGGGGAGGGGTCTGGCTCAGGTGAGTCATGGGGAGGGGTCTGGCTCAGGTGAGTCATGGGGAGGGGTATGGCTCAGGTGAGTCATGGGGAGGGGTCTGGCTCAGGTGAGTCATGGGGAGGGGTCTGGCTTAGGTGAGTCATGGGGAGGGGTCTGGCACCGGTGAGTCATGGGGAGGGGTCTGGCACAGGTGAGTCATGGGAAGGGTTCTGGCTCAGGTGAGTCATGGGGAGGGGTCTGGCTTAGGTGAGTCATGGGGAGGGGTCTGGCTCAGGTGAGTCATGGGGAGGGGTCTGGCTCAGGTGAGTCATGGGGAGGGGTCTGGCTTAGGTGAGTCATGGGGAGGGGTCTGGCACAGGTGAGTCATGGGGAGGGGTCTGGCTTAGGTGAGTCATGGGGAGGGGTCTGGCTTAGGTGAGTCATGGGGAGGGGTCTGGCTCAGGTGAGTCATGGGGAGGGGTCTGGCTCAGGTGAGTCATGGGGAGGGGTCTGGCTCAGGTGAGTCATGGGGAAGGGTCTGGCTCAGGTGAGTCATGGGGAGGGGTCTGGCTCAGGTGAGTCATGGGGAGGGGTCTGGCTTAGGTGAGTCATGGGGAGTGGTCTGGCTCAGGTGAGTCATGGGGAGGGGTCTGGCTCAGGTGAGTGATGGGGAGGGGTCTGGCTTAGGTGAGTCATGGGGAGGGGTCTGGCACCGGTGAGTCATGGGGAGGGGTCTGGCTCAGGTGAGTCATGGGGAGGAGTCTGGCTCAGGTGAGTCATGGGGAGGGGTCTGGCTCAGGTGAGTCATGGGGAGGGGTCTGCCTTAGGTGAGTCATGGGGAGGGGTCTGGCACCGGTGAGTCATGGGGAGGGGTCTGGCTCAGGTGAGTCATGGGGAGGGGTCTGGCTCAGGTGAGTCATGGAGAGGGGTCTGGCTTAGGTGAGTCATGGGGAGTGGTCTGGCTCAGGTGAGTCATGGGGAGGGGTCTGGCTCAGGTGAGTGATGGGGAGGGGTCTGGCTTAGGTGAGTCATGGGGAGGGGTCTGGCACCGGTGAGTCATGGGGAGGGGTCTGGCTCAGGTGAGTCATGGGGAGGAGTCTGGCTCAGGTGAGTCATGGGGAGGGGTCTGGCTCAGGTGAGTCATGGGGAGGGGTCTGGCTCAGGTGAGTCATGGGGAGGGGTCTGGCTCAGGTGAGTCATGGGGAGGGGTCTGGCTCAGGTGAGTCATGGGGAGGGGTCTGGCTTAGGTGAGTCATGGGGAGTGGTCTGGCTCAGGTGAGTCATGGGGAGGGGTCTGGCTCAGGTGAGTGATGGGGAGGGGTCTGGCTTAGGTGAGTCATGGGGAGGGGTCTGGCACCGGTGAGTCATGGGGAGGGGTCTGGCTCAGGTGAGTCATGGGGAGGAGTCTGGCTCAGGTGAGTCATGGGGAGGGGTCTGGCTCAGGTGAGTCATGGGGAGGGGTCTGGCTCAGGTGAGTCATGGGGAGGGGTCTGGCTCAGGTGAGTCATGGGGAGGGTTCTGGCTCAGGTGAGTCATGGGGAGGGGTCTGGCTTAGGTGAGTCATGGGGAGGGGTCTGGCTCAGGTGAGTCATGGGGAGGGGTCTGGCTCAGGTGAGTGATGGGGAGGGGTCTGGCTTAGGTGAGTCATGGGGAGGGGTCTGGCACAGGTGAGTCATGGGGAGGGGTCTGGCTTAGGTGAGTCATGGGGAGGGGTCTGGCTTAGGTGAGTCATGGGGAGGGGTCTGGCTCAGGTGAGTCATGGGGAGGGGTCTGGCTCAGGTGAGTCATGGGGAGGGGTCTGGCTCAGGTGAGTCATGGGGAGGGGTATGGCTCAGGTGAGTCATGGGGAGGGGTCTGGCTCAGGTGAGTCATGGGGAGGGGTCTGGCTCAGGTGAGTCATGGGGAGTGGTCTGGCTCAGGTGAGTCATGGGGAGGGGTCTGGCTCAGGTGAGTCATGGGGAGGGGTCTGGCTCAGGTGAGTCATGGGGAGGGGTCTGGCACCGGTGAGTCATGGGGAGGGGTCTGGCTCAGGTGAGTCATGGGGAGGGGTCTGGCTCAGGTGAGTCATGGGGAGGGGTCTGGCTCAGGTGAGTCATGGGGAGGGGTCTGGCTCAGGTGAGTCATGGGGAGGGGTCTGGCTCAGGTGAGTCATGGGGAGGGGTCTGGCTCAGGTGAGTCATGGGGAGGGGTCTGGCTCAGGTGAGTCATGGGGAGGGGTCTGGCTCAGGTGAGTCATGGGGAGGGGTCTGGCTCAGGTGAGTCATGGGGAGGGGTCTGGCTCAGGTGAGTCATGGGGAGGGGTCTGGCTTAGGTGAGTCATGGGGAGGGGTCTGGCTCAGGTGAGTCATGGGGAGGGGTCTGGCTCAGGTGAGTCATGGGGAGGGGTCTGGCTCAGGTGAGTCATGGGGAGGGGTCTGGCTTAGGTGAGTCATGGGGAGGGGTCTGGCACAGGTGAGTCATGGGGAGGGGTCTGGCTCAGGTGAGTCATGGGGAGGGGTCTGGCTTAGGTGAGTCATGGGGAGGGGTCTGGCACAGGTGAGTCATGGGGAGGGGTCTGGCTCAGGTGAGTCATGGGGAGGGGTCTGGCTCAGGTGAGTCATGGGGAGGGGTCTGGCTCAGGTGAGTCATGGGGAGGGGTCTGGCTCAGGTGAGTCATGGGGAGGGGTCTGGCTCAGGTGAGTCATGGGGAGGGGTCTGGCTCAGGTGAGTCATGGGGAGGGGTCTGGCTCAGGTGAGTCATGGGGAGGGGTCTGGCTCAGGTGAGTCATGGGGAGGGGTCTGGCTCAGGTGAGTCATGGGGAGGGGTCTGGCTTAGGTGAGTCATGGGGAGGGGTCTGGCTCAGGTGAGTCATGGGGAGGGGTCTGGCTCAGGTGAGTCATGGGGAGGGGTCTGGCTTAGGTGAGTCATGGGGAGGGGTCTGGCACAGGTGAGTCATGGGGAGGGGTCTGGCTTAGGTGAGTCATGGGGAGGGGTCTGGCTTAGGTGAGTCATGGGGAGGGGTCTGGCTCAGGTGAGTCATGGGGAGGGGTCTGGCTCAGGTGAGTCATGGGGAGGGGTCTGGCTCAGGTGAGTCATGGGGAGGGGTCTGGCTCAGGTGAGTCATGGGGAGGGGTCTGGCTCAGGTGAGTCATGGGGAGGGGTCTGGCTTAGGTGAGTCATGGGGAGTGGTCTGGCTCAGGTGAGTCATGGGGAGGGGTCTGGCTCAGGTGAGTGATGGGGAGGGGTCTGGCTTAGGTGAGTCATGGGGAGGGGTCTGGCACCGGTGAGTCATGGGGAGGGGTCTGGCTCAGGTGAGTCATGGGGAGGGGTCTGGCTCAGGTGAGTCATGGGGAGGGGTCTGGCTCAGGTGAGTCATGGGGAGGGGTCTGGCTCAGGTGAGTCATGGGGAGGGGTCTGGCTCAGGTGAGTCATGGGGAGGGGTCTGGCTCAGGTGAGTCATGGGGAGGGGTCTGGCTCAGGTGAGTCATGGGGAGGGGTCTGGCTCAGGTGAGTCATGGGGAGGGGTCTGGCTCAGGTGAGTCATGGGGAGGGGTCTGGCTCAGGTGAGTCATGGGGAGGGGTCTGGCTTAGGTGAGTCATGGGGAGGGGTCTGGCTCAGGTGAGTCATGGGGAGGGGTCTGGCTCAGGTGAGTCATGGGGAGGGGTCTGGCTTAGGTGAGTCATGGGGAGGGGTCTGGCACAGGTGAGTCATGGGGAGGGGTCTGGCTTAGGTGAGTCATGGGGAGGGGTCTGGCTTAGGTGAGTCATGGGGAGGGGTCTGGCTCAGGTGAGTCATGGGGAGGGGTCTGGCTCAGGTGAGTCATGGGGAGGGGTCTGGCTCAGGTGAGTCATGGGGAAGGGTCTGGCTCAGGTGAGTCATGGGGAGGGGTCTGGCTCAGGTGAGTCATGGGGAGGGGTCTGGCTTAGGTGAGTCATGGGGAGTGGTCTGGCTCAGGTGAGTCATGGGGAGGGGTCTGGCTCAGGTGAGTGATGGGGAGGGGTCTGGCTTAGGTGAGTCATGGGGAGGGGTCTGGCACCGGTGAGTCATGGGGAGGGGTCTGGCTCAGGTGAGTCATGGGGAGGAGTCTGGCTCAGGTGAGTCATGGGGAGGGGTCTGGCTCAGGTGAGTCATGGGGAGGGGTCTGGCTCAGGTGAGTCATGGGGAGGGGTCTGGCTCAGGTGAGTCATGGGGAGGGTTCTGGCTCAGGTGAGTCATGGGGAGGGGTCTGGCTTAGGTGAGTCATGGGGAGGGGTCTGGCTCAGGTGAGTCATGGGGAGGGGTCTGGCTCAGGTGAGTCATGGGGAGGGGTCTGGCTTAGGTGAGTCATGGGGAGGGGTCTGGCACAGGTGAGTCATGGGGAGGGGTCTGGCTTAGGTGAGTCATGGGGAGGGGTCTGGCTTAGGTGAGTCATGGGGAGGGGTCTGGCTCAGGTGAGTCATGGGGAGGGGTCTGGCTCAGGTGAGTCATGGGGAGGGGTCTGGCTCAGGTGAGTCATGGGGAGGGGTATGGCTCAGGTGAGTCATGGGGAGGGGTCTGGCTCAGGTGAGTCATGGGGAGGGGTCTGGCTTAGGTGAGTCATGGGGAGTGGTCTGGCTCAGGTGAGTCATGGGGAGGGGTCTGGCTCAGGTGAGTGATGGGGAGGGGTCTGCCTTAGGTGAGTCATGGGGAGGGGTCTGGCACCGGTGAGTCATGGGGAGGGGTCTGGCTCAGGTGAGTCATGGGGAGGGGTCTGGCTCAGGTGAGTCATGGGGAGGGGTCTGGCTCAGGTGAGTCATGGGGAGGGGTCTGGCTCAGGTGAGTCATGGGGAGGGGTCTGGCTCAGGTGAGTCATGGGGAGGGGTCTGGCTCAGGTGAGTCATGGGGAGGGGTCTGGCTCAGGTGAGTCATGGGGAGGGGTCTGGCTTAGGTGAGTCATGGGGAGGGGTCTGGCACAGGTGAGTCATGGGGAGGGGTCTGGCTCAGGTGAGTCATGGGGAGGGGTCTGGCTCAGGTGAGTCATGGGGAGGGGTCTGGCTCAGGTGAGTCATGGGGAGGGGTCTGGCTCAGGTGAGTCATGGGGAGGGGTCTGGCTCAGGTGAGTCATGGGGAGGGGTCTGGCTCAGGTGAGTCATGGGGAGGGGTCTGGCTCAGGTGAGTCATGGGGAGGGGTCTGGCTCAGGTGAGTCATGGGGAGGGGTCTGGCTCAGGTGAGTCATGGGGAGGGGTCTAGCTTAGGTGAGTCATGGGGAGGGGTCTGGCTCAGGTGAGTCATGGGGAGGGGTCTGGCTCAGGTGAGTCATGGGGAGGGGTCTGGCTTAGGTGAGTCATGGGGAGGGGTCTGGCACAGGTGAGTCATGGGGAGGGGTCTGGCTTAGGTGAGTCATGGGGAGGGGTCTGGCTCAGGTGAGTCATGGGGAGGGGTCTGGCTCAGGTGAGTCATGGGGAGGGGTCTGGCTCAGGTGAGTCATGGGGAGGGGTCTGGCTCAGGTGAGTCATGGGGAGGGGTCTGGCTCAGGTGAGTCATGGGGAGGGGTCTGGCTTAGGTGAGTCATGGGGAGTGGTCTGGCTCAGGTGAGTCATGGGGAGGGGTCTGGCTCAGGTGAGTGATGGGGAGGGGTCTGGCTTAGGTGAGTCATGGGGAGGGGTCTGGCACCGGTGAGTCATGGGGAGGGGTCTGGCTCAGGTGAGTCATGGGGAGGGGTCTGGCTCAGGTGAGTCATGGGGAGGGGTCTGGCTCAGGTGAGTCATGGGGAGGGGTCTGGCTCAGGTGAGTCATGGGGAGGGGTCTGGCTCAGGTGAGTCATGGGGAGGGGTCTGGCTCAGGTGAGTCATGGGGAGGGGTCTGGCTCAGGTGAGTCATGGGGAGGGGTCTGGCTCAGGTGAGTCATGGGGAGGGGTCTGGCTCAGGTGAGTCATGGGGAGGGGTCTGGCTCAGGTGAGTCATGGGGAGGGGTCTGGCTTAGGTGAGTCATGGGGAGGGGTCTGGCTCAGGTGAGTCATGGGGAGGGGTCTGGCTCAGGTGAGTCATGGGGAGGGGTCTGGCTTTGGTGAGTCATGGGGAGGGGTCTGGCACAGGTGAGTCATGGGGAGGGGTCTGGCTTAGGTGAGTCATGGGGAGGGGTCTGGCTTAGGTGAGTCATGGGGAGGGGTCTGGCTCAGGTGAGTCATGGGGAGGGGTCTGGCTCAGGTGAGTCATGGGGAGGGGTCTGGCTCAGGTGAGTCATGGGGAGGGGTCTGGCTCAGGTGAGTCATGGGGAGGGGTCTGGCTCAGGTGAGTCATGGGGAGGGGTCTGGCTTAGGTGAGTCATGGGGAGTGGTCTGGCTCAGGTGAGTCATGGGGAGGGGTCTGGCTCAGGTGAGTGATGGGGAGGGGTCTGGCTTAGGTGAGTCATGGGGAGGGGTCTGGCACCGGTGAGTCATGGGGAGGGGTCTGGCTCAGGTGAGTCATGGGGAGGAGTCTGGCTCAGGTGAGTCATGGGGAGGGGTCTGGCTCAGGTGAGTCATGGGGAGGGGTCTGGCTCAGGTGAGTCATGGGGAGGGGTCTGGCTCAGGTGAGTCATGGGGAGGGTTCTGGCTCAGGTGAGTCATGGGGAGGGGTCTGGCTTAGGTGAGTCATGGGGAGGGGTCTGGCTCAGGTGAGTCATGGGGAGGGGTCTGGCACAGGTGAGTCATGGGGAGGGGTCTGGCACAGGTGAGTCATGGGGAGGGGTCTGGCTTAGGTGAGTCATGGGGAGGGGTCTGGCTTAGGTGAGTCATGGGGAGGGGTCTGGCTCAGGTGAGTCATGGGGAGGGGTCTGGCTCAGGTGAGTCATGGGGAGGGGTCTGGCTTAGGTGAGTCATGGGGAGTGGTCTGGCTCAGGTGAGTCATGGGGAGGGGTCTGGCTCAGGTGAGTGATGGGGAGGGGTCTGGCTTAGGTGAGTCATGGGGAGGGGTCTGGCACTGGTGAGTCATGGGGAGGGGTCTGGCTCAGGTGAGTCATGGGGAGGGGTCTGGCTCAGGTGAGTCATGGGGAGGGGTCTGGCTCAGGTGAGTCATGGGGAGGGGTCTGGCTCAGGTGAGTCATGGGGAGGGGTCTGGCTCAGGTGAGTCATGGGGAGGGGTCTGGCTCAGGTGAGTCATGGGGAGGGGTCTGGCTCAGGTGAGTCATGGGGAGGGGTCTGGCTCAGGTGAGTCATGGGGAGGGGTCTGGCTCAGGTGAGTCATGGGGAGGGGTCTGGCTCAGGTGAGTCATGGGGAGGGGTCTGGCTTAGGTGAGTCATGGGGAGGGGTCTGGCACAGGTGAGTCATGGGGAGGGGTCTGGCTTAGGTGAGTCATGGGGAGGGGTCTGGCTTAGGTGAGTCATGGGGAGGGGTCTGGCTCAGGTGAGTCATGGGGAGGGGTCTGGCTCAGGTGAGTCATGGGGAGGGGTCTGGCTCAGGTGAGTCATGGGGAGGGGTCTGGCTCAGGTGAGTCATGGGGAGGGGTCTGGCTCAGGTGAGTCATGGGGAGGGGTCTGGCTCAGGTGAGTCATGGGGAGGGGTCTGGCTTAGGTGAGTCATGGGGAGTGGTCTGGCTCAGGTGAGTCATGGGGAGGGGTCTGGCTTAGGTGAGTCATGGGGAGTGGTCTGGCTCAGGTGAGTCATGGGGAGGGGTCTGGCTCAGGTGAGTGATGGGGAGGGGTCTGGCTTAGGTGAGTCATGGGGAGGGGTCTGGCACCGGTGAGTCATGGGGAGGGGTCTGGCTCAGGTGAGTCATGGGGAGGGGTCTGGCTCAGGTGAGTCATGGGGAGGGGTCTGGCTCAGGTGAGTCATGGGGAGGGGTCTGGCTCAGGTGAGTCATGGGGAGGGTTCTGGCTCAGGTGAGTCATGGGGAGGGGTCTGGCTCAGGTGAGTCATGGGGAGGGGTCTGGCTCAGGTGAGTCATGGGGAGGGGTCTGGCTCAGGTGAGTCATGGGGAGGGGTCTGGCTCAGGTGAGTCATGGGGAGGGGTCTGGCTCAGGTGAGTCATGGGGAGGGGTCTGGCTCAGGTGAGTCATGGGGAGGGGTCTGGCTCAGGTGAGTCATGGGGAGGGGTCTGGCTTAGGTGAGTCATGGGGAGGGGTCTGGCACCGGTGAGTCATGGGGAGGGGTCTGGCTCAGGTGAGTCATGGGGAGGGGTCTGGCTCAGGTGAGTCATGGGGAGGGGTCTGGCTTAGGTGAGTCATGGGGAGGGGTCTGGCTCAGGTGAGTCATGGGGAGGGGTCTGGCTCAGGTGAGTCATGGGGAGGGGTCTGGCTTAGGTGAGTCATGGGGAGGGGTCTGGCTCAGGTGAGTCATGGGGAGGGGTCTGGCTCAGGTGAGTCATGGGGAGGGGTCTGGCTTAGGTGAGTCATGGGGAGGGGTCTGGCTCAGGTGAGTCATGGGGAGGGGTCTGGCTCAGGTGAGTCATGGGGAGGGGTCTGGCTTAGGTGAGTCATGGGGAGGGGTCTGGCTCAGGTGAGTCATGGGGAGGGGTCTGGCTCAGGTGAGTCATGGGGAGGGGTCTGGCTTAGGTGAGTCATGGGGAGGGGTCTGGCTCAGGTGAGTCATGGGGAGGGGTCTGGCTCAGGTGAGTCATGGGGAGGGGTCTGGCTTAGGTGAGTCATGGGGAGGGGTCTGGCTCAGGTGAGTCATGGGGAGGGGTCTGGCTCAGGTGAGTCATGGGGAGGGGTCTGGCTTAGGTGAGTCATGGGGAGGGGTCTGGCTCAGGTGAGTCATGGGGAGGGGTCTGGCTCAGGTGAGTCATGGGGAGGGGTCTGGCTTAGGTGAGTGGTGAGACGCTATGGCTATGCCACTGTGAGCGCGAGGGATTGTGCAATGTGCATCAGAGACAGCAGTGGCCATTGGCCCCTGGCATGCTGTGCATGCTATGCCGCTGCTCCTCATACCTCTCCTGTGAGTATTTGCAGAAATTATATAAGCGTTTGAGATGACCGATGTTGTGCCTGTCTGCGGCATATGCAGCATCAGTGCCTGCCAGACTTCACCGTGCTTTGCCCCTGCTCATCGTACCTCTCCTCACCACTCCTCCTTTTCCCCAACCGCGCCCCCCGTCCCCACTCAGGAAATCGTGGCAGATGGATCTGTGTGTGCCCATCGACATGGGGGGAGGGGCAGCGCCAGCCCCTCTGCATGCTGTTCCTCTGCTTACCCACCGCATGCCCCCCCTTCCTCCTCCCCCCCCCCCTTCCTCCTCCCCCCCCCCTTCCTCCTCCCCCCCCCCCTTCCTCCTCCCCCCCCCCTGCCCCCCCGACCCTTCCACACAGGAACTCGCGGCAGATGGATCTGTGTGTGCCCATCGGCATGGGGCGCGGCAGTGCCAGCCCGCTGGGAGCCACGCCCAACGCGGACGGGTCGGTGAACTTCGCCCTCTACTCGCGATATGCGGAGGGCGTTGTGCTTTGCCTCTACCTGCCTGATGACGCCGAGCCCACGGTAAGATTTCTTTTGAGACGTCTCAAAAGTCGTGTACTTACACGCAGTTTTTACACTGATAGAGTGTTTGTTGCTTGAAAAGCTGGGTGTAGCTTGCAAAAGTTACTTGTTCGCGCGAGACTCCCGAAGTTACAGCTGGCGAGAAGTGCAGTTTCAATGACATGCCCCGAGGAATGAAGACTTGGACCACTTGGACTCTCTAGGTGGACCAGGATTGGCTGACCAGATTTCCTACCTTGTTTTTCCAGCCACAGTTGCTCCTACCTTGTTTTTCCAGCCACGGTTGCTCCTACCTTGTTTTTCCAGCCACGGTTGCTCCTACCTTGTTTTTCCAGCCACGGTTGCTCCTACCTTGTTTTTCCAGCCACGGTTGCTCCTACCTTGTTTTTCCAGCCACGGTTGCTCCTACCTTGTTTTTCCAGCCACGGTTGCTCCTACCTTGTTTTTCCAGCCACGGTTGCTCCTACCTTGTTTTTCCAGCCACGGTTGCTCCTACCTTGTTTTTCCAGCCACGGTTGCTCCTACCTTGTTTTTCCGAAACGTAGCGTTTGCCTAAATGCTTCGTTTTCACTCTTTTCTTCATTTTACTAGCACTGATGAAGGTTTGACTTGGGGCCTGTCCCAGTCAGCCGAAACATGTTTGCGTTTCAACCTCTTTAGTGGATTCGAGAGTTCGGATTTCTTGATTTTCTTGGCACTTAGCAGGGTACAACATGCAGATTCATACTACTGTCTTTCTTTCGCTAAAAGTGACTTCTCGACTGCAGCTCACCCAGTCCACATGGCTGACGGTGCCTCTACCTGCCTGATGACGCCGAGCCCACGGTAAGATTAACCCAAAGTCTGGGCTGGAGAGCCCAAGGTTTGGACTGGGCACTGGCATGTGTCGTCGGTCAATCACTCGCTCCTTGAGGCGCCATGCCCAGAATGGACGGGTTGTACAGCTGGAGATCGATCTGAAGCCGTCCATCCACCACTCATTGATGTTGCTGCATCTCCCCTCAACCCACTTTCCCCCTTTCCCCTCCAAACGAATCGCCCCGCCGTGCGTTGTACAGCTGGAGGTCGATCTGAAGCCGTCCATTCACCGCAAACTTTTGAGGCGGCCCAAAAGTGAACCCCCCCTTCCCACCGTGCCTCATGCAGCTGGAGATCGATCTGGAGCCGTCCATCCACCGATGTTGCTGCATCTTCCCCACACAACCCACCCCCACTCTCTCCTCTCCCCCCATGCCGTGCCTCATGCAGCTGGAGATCGATCTCGAGCCGTCCATCCATCGCACGGGGGATGTGTGGCACGTCAGCATTGACGCTGCTGACGTCAGCAGCTTCACTCGCTACGGGTACCGGGTGCAGGTGAGCAAGGCGGCATGGATGGGATTGTTTGACATGTATGCACACGTGTGCGCAGTGCAATGCGATGCCCATGTGCAGAAGCACATGTATGCAGGGGAGAATGTGGAGAATGGACATGGCATGGCATAGCATGTCTGCCAGTTGAACAGTGTGCATGTTGTAAGAGAGGGTGGGTCACACGGGCAGGGTGGTGATGTATTTCCAATCAAACATCCACATCCACAGCACACCTACCATGATGCTGCAGGTTGTTTTTTAGAATTCTCAAAAACAACCGGCAGGGTGGTGATGTACTTGCAATCAATCATCCACATCCACAGCACACCACATCCAATCAACCATGCCATGCCAACGAGGCGCATCGCATCGCATCGCATCGCATCGGGGATCACCTCTCCTTTCTTGCGCTGCGATCACTTGAGCACTGTGCAACGTCTTCCCTTCCTGTTTCATGCTCTGATCTGACCTGATCCTCACTGTGCGGTCTGCGCTCTGTGTGTGCCCTTTGTGTCCCGTGCTGTGGCGTGATAAATCGTGCCCGCACTCTGTCGCTCTCAGGGCGACCCTGACTGGGAGGGAGGCAACCGTTTCCATTCCCGCCTCGTGCTCATGGACCCCTATGCCAAGGAGATGGCTGCTCACGTGCCCGGCCAAGGTAAGTTTGCTGTCGTGGCAGGACATGGTATGCTGACGTGGCATAAGATATGCTGACGTGGCATAAGATATGCTGACGTGGCAGGGCAAGGCAAGGAATGCTCATGGTGAAGGGCCCAATGCAAGCAGCAGAGGATTCAGCGTAGTACTCCTCGTAAGCACCATCATGACGCAAGCGATTCTGCGTTCTCTCGTGCTTTCTAGTACATGACGAACCTTGCTCGCGCTGCCTGCTCTGGTGCGCCACTGCTGCTCTGTGAATGGATTTCATCCGTCCACCCCCTGAAAATTCTCCATGTTTTCTTGCTCCTCCTCTCATTCCATTCCACTTGCCCCTCGTCCCTCTCTTCTCTCCTTCCCGTTTTCGTTTCCCCTTCTCGTGTGCTGCCTCTCGCCTCCCGCCTCCAACAGACCCGTGCCGCTGTGCACGTGCAACCTGCCTGCTGCCATCCCATCCCACCAAAGGATCTGCCTTCGCCAGCAGGGGCGGCGGCTGTCATCCCCACCATGCAAGAGCCATCGTTACCCCCTCCAACCTACCTGCGCCCCTGTGCCCCTGTGCTCCTGCAACCTGCCTGCCCCCTTTCCACCAGAGGACCTGCCATCGCCAGCAGCGGCGGTGGCTGTCATCCCCACCATGCAAGAGCCGCCCTTACCCCTTCCGACCTACCTGTGCCCCTGTGCCCCTGTCCTTCTGTGCCTCTGCAATCTGTCTCCCACCATCCCACCAGAGGACCTGCCATCGCCAGCAGCGGCGTTGGCTGTCATCCCCACCATGCAAGAGCCGCCCTTCGACTGGCATGACGACTTCCCCCCCAAGTGAGAATACCGCCTGCCTCTCGTTCCAATATCTTTGTGTGTGTGTGTGTGTGTGTGTGTGTGTGTGTGTGTGTGTGTGTGTGTGTGTGTGTGTGTGTGTGTGCGTGAACGTAACCAAACCCCAGTTTCCCTCGCCCTCCCCCCTCCTCCCTTCCTTCTCCCTCCCCCCTTCCGCCCGCCAGCATCCCATTGGAGCAGCTGCTGGTGTACCGCCTCAACGCGGTAGCCTTCACAGTGAAAGACAGGAGCAAGGGGAATGGGCATGTGCTCGTTAGTGTAACCAATGTTTCTCCCTGCTCCCCTCCCTCTCTCCACCCGCCAGCATCCCATCGGAGCAGCTGGTAGTGTACCGCCTCAACGTGGCAGCCTTCACGGCAGACGACAGCAGCGGGGTGAGCGAGGCGGGGCGAGGCACGTTCCAGGGCGTGCTGGAGAAGGTCGACCACCTGCTGGCGCTGGGTAAGTGCGGGGGCTTGGACACAATACAAGTAAAGGGGGGCCAGGGGCTGCACTCCTGGTGCAGGTTAGGGTTTGGGACAGCGGTGTGGTCATGGAGGCGGAGCGAGGCACGTTCCAGGGCTTGCTGGAGAAGGTGGAGCACCTGCTGGCGCTGGGTGAGTGTGGGAGGGGAGGTCTAGGGCCTGGGCTTTAGGGGTCTAGGTTTTGGGTTTAAGGCAGCAACACGGTCATGAGGGGGGCCAAGCCAAGCCAAGGCACGTTCCAGGGCGTGCTGGAGAAGGCGGACCACCTGCTGGCGCTGGGTGAGTGCGGCAGCTCTAGGGGCTGGACTCAAGGCTAGGAGGCCAGGAGCTGGGCTCCAGGTTTTAGGGTCCAGGGTTGGGGGTTAAGACAGCAGGGGGGTGATGGAGGCGGGCCAAGGCGAGGCACATTTGAGGGTGTGGTAGAGATGGCCGACCACCTTCTGGCAGTGGGTGCGAGATTCTGGGTTCAGGGTGTGAGGGTGTGTGCGTTGGGCTCAAAAGTTTGTTCCAGGGCATGCTGGAGAAGGCCAACCACCTTCGGCCCCAGCGCCCAGACGCCAATGTAAAACCATCTCGCTCTGCGTGTGAGCTGCGTGTGAGCTGCAGGGTGCATGTTCCGCAGTCTCCCTTGCTGATACCTTGCTTTTCCCGGGCAGGCAGCTCATGTTTTGTCGCTATCTGCTCCTTGTGCTTCCTTCTCGTCTCACTCGTCACGTGCTCCCTCCCACCTCTCCCCACTCGCCACATGCTCACACGTGATTGGCCACAGGAGTGAATGCGGTGCTGCTTCAACCAATCGCAGCGTTCGACGAAACTCAAGGACCCTACTTCCCTATCAAGTAAGCACCCTGCCCCACCGCTCCCAACCCATCCCAACCTCAGCAATCGCATATCCATCCGTCCCCGACAATCTGTCCTACATCTCTTCCCTTCCTCATCCCCCCCCCCCCCCCCCTCTTCCCCAAACCCCCCTCTTCCCCAAACCCCCCTCTTCCCCAAACCCGCCTCCTCCCTTCCGT